GAATCTGTTCGGCCTGGGCGAGGAACTGGCTGTCTTTGGCTTTGCGCAGCGTGTTAGTGCCGACGATACGGACGTTGCTGGGATCCAGTGGACGTAGTCGTTGGGCAAATCTTTCCAGGCATTCGAGGGCGCGGGTAACCACATCTGCGTCAAGGCTTTTGCCAGATCGCAGGCCTTCGGCAAGTCGCACCATCTCTTTGTGTTTGTCCAGCACCTGTACCCGGCCATGGGATTCCTGGGCAATCAACAAATGAAAACTGTTGGAGCCCAGATCCAGTGCGCCCAGCTGTTTGCTGCGGTTGGTAAGAGGCAGCACCTGGCTGCTGGTTTCAGACTGGGTCAAGCTGATATCGATCGGCAAAGGTGGCGCATTCTAGTACGCCTGGCGTGTGCTTGCAGTGACTTTTTCAGGCATAAAATAGGGTGCAGAGGTTCGCGGCAGGTTCAGGCATAGATAGACGGCGGTATCGGACAATCGAGAGTTGCAGCAATACCCTGCAGCAGCGCGCCTTCTGCAGCGTTGACGTGGTTGTCTGCCAGCACCGTTGTTGCGCAGGCTTTGAGCAGCGCAGGCTTTGCCAGCGGTTTTAGTTTGCGCAATTTAGCCAGCGTATCGTTCATACGCTGATAGTCAAAGTTTTCCTGTTTTGAATAGGCTTTGCTGATACCGAGTTCTGCTGCACCCGCACTATAAGCGCGCAATTGCTCGTCGGTGTCCTGGTGGCTGTGGCTGGCCAGAATCGAAAGCAGTTTGGCAGCGTCATCAGCCAGTTTACTGATGTTGCCAATCCGGCCATGCACATTAAGCGGGCCCTGGAAATGAGCGTGCAGATGTTTAGTCAGTACCCTGTGGATGACCCATTCGAAAATTTCGATCCTTTTGTCGGCGGTGATCAGGGCGGCAGTATTGCTCGTAAATGTCTTGTATTGGGCACGGCTGAGTTCTTTGAGCGCAGGTATGGACATTTCCAGGAGCATCAGCAGATGACTGCTCGAACTGCCTCGAACAATGGGTAGCAGGCGGGTCACATGCGCTGCAACACCAGCTTCGGCACGCTCCGCTATCAATGCCAGCTGCTGTTCGCTGGCACTGTTCTGTTCCGAGTGGATCAACATTGCGTAGACCAATGCGCGGGCTTCAAACGGATCATGTGCCGCCTCTTTCAACTGTGCTGGATTGTTCGAGATCATGTCCTGTGCTGCAGTAAGCCCTGCAACGCTCAATGTGCCTACTTGCTCAACAATATTTTGTGCTCTGCTGTCCGCATCGCCAGCCAGTTGACTCACCCCGGATGTCTCTGCGGGGTTCGAGGGTCGTGTTTGTCGGTGTTGGCCCGTTGCCATGGTTGCCGGACTATTCTGCAGAAACTTGCCATCCCAACCTGGTTCTATAGCGAGGATGCGTTTGTCGAGCGGCGGGTGGGTAGCCAACAAGCTGGTTGAAAATTTCTGCGCCGCCGCGCCAAAAAACATATGGCTGGCCTGTTCCGCCGCGGGGTTGGTCATGTGTGAGCTCATGCTGAACCCGCCGATCTTCTTCAAAGCATCTGCGATGCTGCTGGGGTCGCGGGTGAACTGCACAGCGGATGCATCTGCCAGATATTCGCGTTGGCGACTTACAGCGGCTTTGATCAGGTTGCCAAAGAAAGTGCCGCCGTAGCCGATGATCAGCAGGCCAATGCCTGCCACCACAATAGGTAAACCGTTGCGCCGGCTGAATCCACCAGCACGTAGAAGACCATAGCCAATCATGCCAACAAACAATATGCCGTGCAGAATAGCGATCAGGCGTAAGTTTATATGAGTATCGCCATTCAGAATGTGGCTGAATTCGTGGGCTACAACACCCTGTAACTCAGAGCGGGAAAGCTGTTCCAGGGTGCCCTGATTGATACCGATCACAGCATCGTCGGTGCTGAACCCTGCAGCGAACGCATTGATGCTGGGTTCGGGGATCAGGTACACCGGCGGCACCGGCATGCCTGCAGCCAAGGCCATTTCTTCAACCACATTCAACAGCTGGCGTTGCTTCTGGTCTGTGGTGCTCTGGTGAATCAGTGATCCACCTAACGCTTCAGCTATGGTTTTTCCGCCGCCGGAGATGCTCAGGAATTTGTACAGGCTTGCCACGCCGATGACACCGATCACCCCCAGACTGATCCAGATCCAGCTGTCGATGGGCACCTGAGCTAACGTCTGGCCGAAGGTCATACCGGTCTGCATGCCTGCCCAGCCGAAAGCGATGGCAACAAACAGGTTGGTTAACAGCAGCAGGGTAATGACGGCGGCGCCGAACAGCATCGCCAGTAACCAGGTTTTTTTGCGAGCGTTATCCTGCGCCTGAAAAAAGTTCATCGGCGGTAGTGTCTGTCAGCTGCCAGGGCGTTTATCACTCAATTGAATGATACTGAAGGGGCAGCCTGAATGGCCTCTGAGTCAGCAAACTCAAGCAATTCTGCATCGATGGCATGACCAAACATTCCAGCGAACACAACCGGTGGAAACGACTGTCGGTAAGAATTGTATTCAGTGACCTGGTCATTGTAGGCCTGGCGGGAAAATGCCACTTTGTTTTCTGTGGTGGTCAGTTCTTCACTCAACTGCATCATGTTCTGGTTGGCTTTCAAATCGGGATACGCTTCCATCACAACATTGAGCCGCCCTAAAGCACTGCCTAACATGCCTTCCGCGCTACCAAGTTCTTTCATGGCGTTGGCATTGCCCGGGTCTGCAGCTGCAGCCGTCAGGCCAGCCATTGCCTGGTTGCGGGCGTTGATAACCGCCTCCAACGTCTCGCGTTCGTGGCTCATATAAGCTTTGGCTGTTTCAACAAGGTTGGGAATAAGGTCGTAGCGACGCTTAAGCTGTACTTCGATTTGGGCAAAGCCGTTCTCAAAGCGGTTTTTCAGCGCCACCAGCTTGTTGTAGATGGCCACCACCCAGAAAGCCAGGGCGGCGATAATGACAAGTACAATGATAAATTCCATACGGTTTTCCAATTGGCTGTAATGGCACTGCCTATATTGGGCCAATAACCGCCAATTTCAAACCGTAACGTGTAGCGGGTTGTTCCAGCTACACATCTACAGATGGGCTGTTTTACTTGAACCGCTAGTCGGGTAAACCCAGTACGCGTTTAGCAATCACGTTGAGTTGCACCTCACTGGTGCCGCCTTCAATGGAATTGGCTTTTGAGCGTAACCACTGGCGGGTCGCATTCAGTTCGCGGGCTTCAAAAGTATCACCCTCCCAACCCAGCATCTGGGTGCCCATCAACTCCAGCATGCGCTCATATTTACGCTTGTTCTGTTCAGTGCCGTAGTACTTGAAAATTGAAGCCAGGTTGGCGTCCAGGTTGCCGGCTTTAGCTTCTTCACCGCTACGCGCCATGGTCAGCTGAAAGGCGCTGTCATTCATGCGGTGTTCGGTAATGCTGCCGCGTATTGCCGGATCAGCAATTTGACCGTTCTGTTCACCAATGTATTTTTTTGCAACATCCTCCAGCTGGCTACCGCTGCCGCCCAGGGCGGAGTTGCCACCGATGCCGGAGATCATCTGGCGTTCATGCTGCAGCAGCCGTTTGGCGATGGTCCAACCTTTGTTGAGCTCACCCACCAGCTGCGTCTTGGGCACTTTCACATCGTCAAAGAAAGTCTGGCAGAATGGTGAGGCGCCGGAGATCAGGGGTATAGGCGTTGTTGTGACGCCTTCACTGGCCATATCAAACAACAGGAAGCTGATGCCTTCGTGTTTGGGGGCGTCTGCATCGGTACGTACCAGGCAGAAAATCCAATCGGCCTGATCGGCATATGACGTCCAGATTTTTGCACCGTTAACCAGGTAGTAATCACCTTTGTCTTCGGCCTTGGTCTGCAACCCCGCCAGATCTGATCCATAGCTGGGTTCTGAGTATCCCTGGCACCAGCGAATTTCACCCCGGGCGATTTCAGGCAGATATTTCTTCTTCTGCTCTTCGCTGGCAAATTCCAGCAACGCGGGGCCCAGCATCCAGATGCCAAAGCTCTGAATCGGCAGGCGCGCATTGATGCGGCGCATTTCCTGTTGCAGGATTTTGTCTTCGTCTGCACTTAAACCGCCACCGCCGTAGGCTTCGGGCCAGCGCGGCACGGTCCAGCCTCGTTCTGCCATGCGCTCCAGCCAGATTTTTGAATCAGGGTTCACCCAGGTCTGGTTGCGTCCGCCCCAGACCGTTTCTTCTTCAGAACCCGGGGTTCGCATGGAAGCCGGACAATTCTCTTCCAGCCACGTTCGGGTTTGCTGGCGGAATACTTCTAAATCACTCATATCATTTTGCCTCTTAGCCGTGACTGTAGACCCGAAGGTCACCAAAAAAAGAGACACATCTTAAACAAAGCGGGATGAGCAAACCAAGCTGCTTGCGGTATAGTCCAACAGGCACAAAAAATACAAAAAGATCTGGCAGGGGTAGTAATGACGGAGTTTGACGGACGCGCGCTGCGAAACGCGATGGGGAATTTCTGTACCGGCATCGTGGTGGCAACCAGTGTTTTCGAGGGCAAGCCGGTGGGCTTTGCCGCACAGTCTTTTGTGTCTCTGTCCCTGACGCCGCCGCTGGTGGCGATCTGCCCGGGAAAATCATCTTCCAGCTGGCCTAAACTGCGGGACGCTGGCAGTTTCTGTATCAATCTGCTGGCGGCTGATCAGAAACACGTTTGTGATGCCATGGCAAAGTCTGGCGGTGATAAGTTCGCCGATGTGCAGTGGCAGGCTGGTGTCACCGGGGCGCCGATTATTGTCGGTACCTTAGGTTATGTAGAGTGCGAGCTGGTGGCTGAGCACGATGCCGGCGATCATACGATTGCCGTCGGGCAGGTGCAGGATTTTAAAATGACGGATGAAGGCAAAGCGCCGCTGCTGTTCTTTCGCGGCGGTTATGGGGAATTTGGAGAACTGACATGACTTTACACACATCGATCTGTGACATTTTTGGCATTGACAAACCTATTGTTCTGGCGGGGATGGGCGGTGCCAGCGGCCCTGCTCTGGCAGCCGCGGTATCCAATGCCGGCGGCTTGGGTATTCTCGGCGCAGCCGCCTGTGGACCGACTCAGCTGCGTCAGTGGATACGTGAAACCCGCGAATTGACAGACAAACCTTTTGGCGTCGACACGTTGCTGCCAGCTTCCGTACGGCGCGCCAGTTATGACTCAGATGCGGGTCCGACACCGTCTGATCTGCTCCCCGAACGCCTCGAGTTTGCGCAGGCTTTCATGCGTAAAGAGGGCCTGGAGCCGGTCACAGCAAAAGATCTTGAAGAACGATCTGTTCCCGGTGAACCGGCAATTTTCACTAAGGAATTTTTTGAAGCCCAGATGCAGGTGGTCATTGAAGAACGGGTACCTGTATATGCGTCGGGTCTGGGCAATCCGGGCCCATGGATGGCGGAGCTGCGCGCAAATGGCACCAAGGTGATGGCGGTGATCGGCGCGGTGCGCCATGCGATCCAGGTGAAATCTTCCGGGCTCGATGTGATTGTGGCCCAGGGGCACGATGGTGGTGGCCATAACTCGCCGATTGGCACCATGGCGCTGATTCCTCAAGTGGTAGACGCTGTGGGCGATACGCCGGTGTTAGGTGCGGGCGGCATTGTCGATGGTCGCGGGGTTGCCGCGGCCATGATGCTGGGTGCCCAGGGCGTATGGATTGGGTCAGCCTTTCTGGCCTCTGAAGAAGCCAACATTTTCCCTTTTCAGAAACAGGCCATTATCGATGCCACCGAAGAAGGCACCGCGATATCTCGCTCTGTCACAGGCAAGCCGGCGCGCATTATCCGCAGCAAATGGACTGACTACTGGGTGAAAGAAGGTGTGGAGCCGTTACCCATGCCTTATCAGGGTGCAGTCTCTGGTCCTGTGATGGCCGCTGCAACCCGTGCGGGTCGCGGTGACATCAATCCTGGTTTCGCTGGCCAGGGCATTGGCATGATTAAAGCCGTTAGACCTGCCAAAGACATCTTTGATGATCTGGTATACGGTACTGAAAAGGCGTTAGCCCAGGCGAAAACCTGGGGCTAATGCCGAAGGTGGGGCTGGCTGGGAAAGCCCAGCCGCCAGACGGTTCAGGGTGAAAGCGCTTCGAGACATTCCCAGTCGAGGTCGCCAAACTGACCGTTGGTATTCACGGGCTGTATGCAGACGTGGGTTGCACCGGCGTCCATATGTTCCGCTATGCGTCCCTTGATGGCGTCAACATCACCCCATGCAAACGTTGTATCGATAAACTTGTCACTCAGGTTATTGATGTCATCTTCGCTTAAACCCATGCGCAACCAGTTGTTGCGATAGTTGGGGAGGCCGGCATAGATCTGCGCCACAGGGCGTGCCAGCTCACGGGCTTTATCGGCATCAGTTTCCAGAATAACTTTCTGTTCTACGCAGAGCATGGCGTCCGGTCCCATAATCTCGCGTGCCATGCGGGTATGATCCGGAGAGCTGAAGTAGGGGTGTGCACCCTGGCAGGCTTGTGCTGCCAGCTCCAGCATTTTGGGACCCAGCGCGGCAATAACCGTTGGTGGTTCTTCAGCGGGTGGAAAGCCGTTGTAAGGTGCAGCTTTCATCGCTTCAAGATAGGCGCGCATGGTTTTAACCGGCGGCCCGTATTCCAACCCACGTACTCCTTCAACCAACGGCTTGTGAGATACACCCATGCCAAGCAGGAAACGCCCGCCGGATTGTTCCGCCAGAGATTTCTGTGCGGCCATGGTCACCCCCGGCTCGCGGTGATAGATGTTAATGATGCCGGTGGCCAGGTTCAGCTTTTCGGTATTAGCCAGCAACCATGACGCCATAACAGTTGGGTTTTTACCCACGGTTTCTGGTATCCAGAGGGTGCCATAACCCATGGCTTCAATTCGCTTTGCTGCCGCAGCTGCATCAACGGAGGACATGCCGTCAAAAAAGTACCAAACGCCCAGTTTGCCTGTATCCATCTACTTCCTCTCTTATTGTGAAAATTCTTCTTGTGAAAAATGACTCGACAGTACTCAAGTGCCGGTAAAAACGCCTGGACGTCTTTGCGCAACCGCGCGAATACCTTCATATGAATCATTGGTTGCGCGAAGCCACTGCTGTTCCGCCAGTTCATGTTGTGTTGCTTTGGCAACCGCTTCAGCCAGTCCTGCGCGCATTGTGGCGCGTACAGACATCACAGCCAGGGGCGCGTTCTCGGCAATTTCCCTGGCCAGAGACAACGCTGCAGGGCGCAGGTCCTCTGCTTCGACGAGTTGATCGACCAGACCCATGTCTGCGGCTTCAATGCCACTTATGCGTTTACCGCTCAACAACATGTGCGCAGCGGCCTGTTGTCCAATCAGTCGGGGAAGTGTCACGCTGATGCCAAACCCCTGATGCAATCCGAGTTTGACAAAGTTAGCGCTAAAACGTGCTGCAGGGCTCGCAATTCGAAAATCCGGCACCAGCGCCAGTCCAAGACCGCCACCAATTGCAGCACCTTGAATGGCGCCAATGACCACTTTTTTAGTCCGAAACAGCCTTGTGGCCTCCTGATAGAGTTTTCCTGTGGTGTTTTGGAAGCCTTCCTCTGTAAAATCAGCGCTTCCGGTTCCATCTGCTTGCCCGGTGCCAAAGTTTGCACCGGCGCAAAATGCTTTGCCCGTTGAGGCCAGCACTATGGCACGACAGTCGGGCTCTGCGTCCAGGGCGTCGAATGCGTCTGCAAGTTGGCTGATCAGACTATGATCAAAAAAATTGAGCGGCGGACGCTGTATCTCCACCGTAGCGACATGATCGTCGAGGGTAACTTCGATATCTGTGCAGTTGTCGATTATCAAGGCGGTGGTGTAGCAGGTAGTGAAGGGCAGAATACTAACAGCGGGGCAGGGGAAAGCACACCTAAGTGGACGATTCAAAAGACATCGATGAACTAGAGCTTGACGTTTCCGAAGCTCAGCGGCCGAGTATATGGGAGCTGGCCCTGCCTTCTATTCTGGGCAACCTGTCTTACACCATTGTAGGGATGGTGCAGGTTAAATTTATTGCTACCCTGGGTGCTGAGGGTCTGGCGGCTGTAGGTGCCGGGCAGAGAATATTTTTTGCCATGCAGGCTATCCTGATGGCGGTCAGTGCCGGGACCACCGCTTTGGTAGCGCGGGCCTGGGGGGCGGGTGATTATCGCGAAGCCAGTCGCGTCACCATGGCATCGCTGGTTTTAGGTGGCGTGCTTGCGCTGGGTATGGCGGTCCTTGGCATTGCTTTTGCCACACCTGTAGCCAGTGTGTTTGGCCTAGATCCAAATACACTGGAAATGGCCAGCCTTAACATCCGGTGGTTATCTGCGTTTAACATTGTGTTTGCTGCCATGTTTGTTCTGAGTGCGGCATTGCGGGCTTCCGGTGATGCCTGGACGCCGCTGTGGATGAGTGTGGGGGTGAATCTCATGAACATTCCGCTGCTGTATGCTTTTGTTTACGGTCGCTGGGGTATGCCCGAAATGGGCGTGGCAGGCGCTGCAATCGCCGCGGGTATCTCATTTTCTATAGGTGTTGCGGTGCTCATGACCATGTGGATCAAGCAACGCTTCAGGGTCAAACATGTGGCCGGAGGATGGTGGCGGAAAGAGCGCTTAAAAAGATTGTTAGATATCGGCTATCCCGCAGCGTTGGAGCAGGGCGTCTTTCAGATCGGCTTTTTTATCTTCCTGATGCTGATTGGCAATTACTACGGCACCGAGGCTTTTGCCGCGTATAACATCGGTGTCAGTCTGCTGGCAGTCTGTATGACGGTGGGGTTTGGATTTTCGATCGCAGGGTCAACCCTGGTCGGCCAGAACCTGGGTGCTAATGATCACGAAGGTGCCGCCCGCAGCGGCTGGCGAGCCTGTCTGTTTGCCATTTTATCCATGGGCACACTGGGCATCATCATCATCTTTATCGCTGAAGAACTGGCGACCTATTTTATTGGCGATGCACCGCGTACAGTGGAATTGACCGTGCAGTTTATTTACATCCTTGGCGCCATGATGCCGCTGATGGCCATCGAGTTTTCTATCGGGGGTGCGCTCCGTGGTGCTGGCGATACGCGTTTTCCCCTGATGGCTACAATTATCGGTTTGCTGGTCATGCGCTGTGGTCTGGCCTTGATTGCCACCTACCTCAAGTTGCCCGTGGTCTACGTTTATGCAGCGCTTATTGGTGACTATGTTGTAAAAGGGGCCATGCTGATCTGGCGCTTTCGTCGCGGTAAGTGGAAAACCATCGTGCCTAACGCAAGTCTTGTTGCCGACGATAACTGAGTGATTTGCAAATGTCAGTGGTGGCCGTTTCTGATCGCCGTAGATGACGTGTCGTTGCGATAGGTGTCCTGATCAACGCCGGTGCACCGTTGCCTGAGGATCTCCGGTATATCAAGGTGCTCCAGAGTTACAAACGTGTCACCAATCAGGCGGCCGAACACCACAAAGTGAGTGTCCTGCTCGACAAAAGTGTTCATGGCTTTATCAAGCAGATCAACGTGGTTACGGTAAAAACGTAACTCTCCGATCCGCGCCAGCGTATCTACCCCGACCACAAAAGTTGTGCCTTTGAACAGGTTGGCTTTGCCTTCGAAGTTGGGTGTGTTGGTTAACCACAGAGGGGTATCACCAATGCCTTCGATGCGCTCCTCCATGGTCAGGTAATCAAGGCTGGGTTTGTCGGCGTTTTTCACCGCCAGTTCAAACGCACCCTGCAATCCGGTCAGACCCTCGGCAATAGACAACATCTGTTTATGACCGTCGTGTACCGGGTTGAACGATCCGGGGAGCAGTAAGCTGCCGTCTGAATCACCCACGGCATGTTTGTAGGGCGATTCGTCTAACAAAGGCCGCAACGGCGGGTTCGCACGTGCGTGCAGTTCAACCAGGTTGTCGTCAAATTCAATATTGTGATCAAGCAGGCAGTGCGCAATGGTCTGCCAGATCTGCTCGCGCAGCAGCGCTTCTTCGCTGTCGCGATCTCCATTGTAGTCCGCGCTGAAGGTATAGGTGTCTACCGCGGTTTGAATGGCCCAATGCGCTCGATGTGCACCCCGCTTAACTCGATTGGTTGCCAGCGATGCGGTGCAGCCGAAGCCGAACAGCTTTTTTTTTCCTGCCGCTGGTGCGTCCAGCCTGGTGAGGGATTCGCTTCGCTCAAAAGCAGTGATCGCCAGCTGTCTTGCGGTGGTGGCGGAAACCGCCTGTTCCGGTGCGCGTCCCAGCAACTCGGTCATTGCTTGACTCGCGTAGGGTACAACCACTTCTAGCACTGTGGCTGAAGCGCCGGCGGTATTTAAAGTTTCCGCAAGAAAGCTGGCACCGCCACCGGTAACATAAAAGGTGCCGAGCCAGGGGCTGTTATGTAAGGCGGTGGCGCGCTCGCTCATGTCAGTCTGCCAGGAAGGTGCGAACCCGCTCGACAAATGGGTCAAGCTGATCATGGTGGACCCAATGCCCGGCTTTACCAAACGCTTCAACTTCTAAGGGACACGTGAAGTGCTTGGCGCGCCCGTCAGCGATTGGATCGCTGGCCCAGGATTCCAGGCCGCGTACCAAAAGCGTTGGGCAGGTAATGTTGCCGTACATGCGCCAGGTTTCTTCGATGGGCACACCGATCGGGGAAAATGTGCGTACGTAGTTGTCAAACTTCCACGAGAAGGTGCCGTCTTCGTTCTGATTGCTGCCGTGAATGGTCAGATGTCTGGCCTGGGCTTCAGATAAATGTGGGTTTTCCGCCTGCATGCGTTGAAACGCCTCTTCCAGCGTGTCGTAGCGACGTACCAGTCGTCCGGAAAGTTTGCGCAGATCGCCCATCCAATCGTGCAGACGTTTGTCCATCGGTTGATTGATACGCTCTTCCACCATAGCCGGCGGCGGCCCCATACCTTCGATGGACACCAGCTTTTTGACATTCTGTGGAAACAGAGCGGTATACAAAAGTGAAATTGAGCCACCCAGGGAGTGTCCAATGACGGTCACCGGGGCCATGCCTTTCTGGTCCAGCAACTGCGCAATGTCGTAGACGTAGTCCACCTGGTTGTAAGAGCCGCCACGCATCCACTCGCTATCGCCGTGGCCACGCAGGTCGGGCGCAATGATGTGATAGTCGTTGCGAAACTGCTCAGCGACCCAGTCCCAGTTACGGCAGTGGTCACGACCGCCGTGGATCAGAATCATCGGAGGCGCATCTGGATTACCCCAATCGACGTAGTGCAGGCGCAAACGCTGAGAAAAGTAGCTGTGTGATGTTGGTCCTAACATGGGCTTAGGGCTCCGTGTAAAACCAGGGAGTATAACGCAAGCGCTCAGAAAACCTTGCGACCTCTGGCGTAAGTTGCTTTGACCTCAAGTGACATCAGGTCAGCAGCCTCAGTTTTTAAGGGATCAGCAGATAACACAACCAGGTCTGCCAGTTTACCCACTTCAATGCTGCCTTTGTCTTGTTCTTCAAATTGCTGGTACGCGGCAAATATAGTCATCGCACGCAGCCCATCGTATATGGAAACCCTTTGATCCGGTCCCAGGACCGCCCCGGACCGTGTGACCCGGTTTGTTGTCGCCCATAAAAGACGCAGCATGTCCGGCGGCACTATGGGTGCATCGTTATGCACGGTAAAGACCATGCCACGTTGCACGGTAGAGGCCGTAGGGCTGATATTGGCGCCGCGTGTTTCCCCCAAAACTGAATCACGGTGCCAGTCTCCCCAGAAGAAGGTGTGTGCACTGAAATAGGAAGGGATCATGTCGAGCATCTTCATCTGTGTAATCTGGTCCTCACGCACGGTCTGGGCATGAATCATGACGGTGCGGTGATCATGCACAGGTCTTGCCTGGGCGACGGCTTCAATCAACATCTGTGCGGCCGCGTCGCCGTTCGCGTGGGCAATAATCGGGATTTCATTCTGCAGGTAAGTTCCGACCAGTTCGGTTGTGCGAGCAGGCGTGATGGTTGGGTAGCCTGCATAATCTTCTGCTGTGCCGGGTGGGGTTACATGGTACGGCTTGCTGAGATAGGCAGTTTTGCCCTGGGGTGAGCCATCCAGAATCAGCTTTACACCGGCCACTTTCAGGCGCTTGTCATATTCCCCCCAATTGTAACGATCAACCATGCTGATCGCGTCAGCCTGTCCTACCGGGTAAGCAATCACATCCAACGGCAGCTTGTCGGCCGCGTTGGCTTGTTCCAGCAACGTCATCACGTCCGGTCCCGCAGCGCCATCCTGAGCCGTAGTGATGCCGTAACTGGCGTAATCCTGCAGCGCACGCGTCAGGCTACCAATAGGGTCAGTGTTGGGTGCGGTCATGTACTTGCGCAGCGCATAGGTTGCGGTTTCTTCCAGCACGCCGTCAGGTTCACGACTGTCTGGCCGCCTGCGGATGACGCCGCCAGCTGGATCGGAGGTCTCTGCACTGATGCCACCGCGAGCCAGGGCGCGGCTGTTACCGGCAACAAGGTGTCCAGAGACATGGATCAGCAGGATGGGGTGGCGAGTTGAGACCTGGTCGAGATCGTCTCTATCCGGGTGGCGCTGTTCAGCAATCAACGAATCGTCATAACCCATTCCCACAACCCATTCACCCTCGGGTATGCCCTGACGGGATATGAATGCGTTAAGTGTTTCCTGCAAATCCTGGATATTGGTGACAGGACCAACCGGCGGTGAAGCCACGTTGGCAAGATTGGTAGCCAGCGCAGAGAAAGAGACGTGGCCATGGGCGTCGATAAAGCCTGGTAATATGGCCTGGTCCTCAAGCTCGACGCGCTCGGTGTCCGGCCCTACCCAACGTTCAGCATCAGCGGGCGTGGTGAGACCAATAATACGCTCGCCTTTAATGGCAATAGCCATGGGTTCACCTGTGCGGGAGGTGCGGCTGGCCATAGTGACCACATGATTGGATATCAGCACCGTGTCCGCGTATTGATCGGCAGCCTGTAGTGGCAGCTGTGCAGCTCCGATACCAATAATGCAAAGGAGCTTAGTCCAGGTGTTTGGCTTCATATTTTATTAACTCTGTCTTGATCAGCGGGGCCAGTAGATACAGGCCCAGCAGGTTGGGAATGGCCACAATAAATACCATGGCATCAGATAAATCGATCAGCGAAGACAATTCGATGCTGGCGCCCAGCACGACAAATGCAAGAAAAAATAACTTAAACGAAATGTCTGCAATACGGTGATTGCCGACCAGGTAGGTAAACGCTTTAAGGCCATAATAAGACCACGCGATCATGGTGGAATAGGCAAACAGAATCGCTGCGACAGACAAAGGAATTGGGCTCCAGGATAAAGTGCTGGCAAAAGCCTGGGTGGTGAGCTCAATGCCGGCCATATTCTCACTGCCCAGAGAGGGATCGTACACGGTTGTGATGATCACCAGCGCAGTAATTGTGCAGATCACCACCGTGTCGATGAACGGCTCGAGCAGGGCGACAAAGCCTTCACTAACAGGCTCTTTGGTGCGCGCAGTGGAATGCGCGATAGCGGCAGAGCCAAGGCCCGCTTCGTTGGAAAAAACGGCGCGCCTGAAACCAATGATCATAACCCCAATGATGCCGCCACTGATGCCTTGAGGGTCGAAGGCGCCGTTCCAGATGGCAGCAAATGCACCCGGCAGTGCTTCGTAATTCATGGCGATGACAAGCAGCGCGGTGACGACATAGAGCAGCGCCATGGCGGGAACCAGTCGCGCAGTTGTGATGGCAATGGATTGGATGCCGCCAATGATCACAGCACCGACCCCCAGAGCCAGGGCGAAACCGAGCAGCCAGCTCTGGTCTGCAAACCAGCTGTCAGCGCCACCAGTGACGTTAATGAAGATGGCGGCTGCCTGGTTTGACTGGAACATGTTGCCGATACCCAGGCAGCCAATCACCATGCTGGCAGCATAAAAAATGCCTAAACCGCGGCCCAGTTTTGGCCAGTTCCGCTCTGTCAGGCCACGTTCCAGGTAATACATCGGGCCACCCGACACGACACCCTCTTCGTAACGTCTGAACATCACGCCGAGGGTGCATTCAGCAAGCTTGGTCGACATGCCGAGCAGCCCGGCGACGATGAGCCAGAACGTGGCGCCTGGTCCACCGATGGATATGGCGACCGCAACGCCGGCGATATTACCAATGCCAACAGTGCCGGATACGGCAGTTGTGAGCGCCTGGAACTGGCTTATCTGGCCGGGATCATCAGCTTCAACGTGTTTTCCGGATACCAGTTCAATCGCGTGTCGAAAGCCACGGAAGTTTATGAAGCGCAGATAGACGGTAAAAAACACTCCACCGGCAACCAGCCACAAAACGATCAACGGTACAGGCGTGCCAAACATCTCAATGGAAAAGAAAATGAAGTTGGACGCGCTATCTGCCAGCGGCCGCATGGCGGCATCGATAAGGGCATCAATACCCTGGGTACTGGGATCAGACGGGTTCTGCATATGAAGGTATAATCAGGCTTTTGCTATCAAAATACACACATGTTGAAAACATTACACTTCAGTCTGGCTTTTCTATCCGTTGCGGGCTTTGTTATTCGCGCGGGCTGGTCCTATAGCGGTTCGGATCTGCTGCAGGAAAAGTGGGTGAAAATTGCCCCGCACGTGGTGGACACTTTGTTGCTGACTCTGGGCGTGGTATTGGCCTTCAGCTTGCCTGATGGGCCCTGGCAGAGCTGGTTGCTGGCGAAGCTGGTTGCACTGCTGGCCTACATCGGTTTCGGGGTGATGACGCTGCGGGGCCGGGGCGTGGTCAAACATATCGGCTTGATAGGTGCCCTGTGCAGCGTGGGCTATATTTTTCTGGTTGCCTACGCTCGCACGGCACTGCCTTTTTAGCAGGTGCAGCTAGCCTGCATCAAAAGTCATGACCAGGGAAACCGGCACGGACTGGCTGATGCTGGGCAGCCCTGCCAACGCCTGCAGTTTTTCGACACCTTCACTTAACCCCAGTGAAGAGGTGTTGAGCACGATAGGTTGCAGGCTGGTCACAACCACACGGTTATCATGTTTGCTGACCAAAACCTCGGTGGTGATCGGCGTTTGACGGTCTTTCAGTGTCACCATGGCTTCAACAGCCAGGATGGCAACCTCTCCAGATTTCAGTGCTTTGATTGCCATGGGGTCAACGCGGCCGGTGATTGTTACGGTGGGATAGGTCGCCGCCTCGAACAAGAATTCCAGCATGCGCTCATTGCGTATCGGGATCAGCGTATCCAGGCTGGCCAGATTAATCTCGATATTGATGGCGCCGTTGTCAGCCAGTCCGCCTTCGAATTGAGTGAATTTGTGCACCTCAGCGATGTGAGTGGCTTTCATTGAAACGAAACTCAGGCGTGACAGGTCACTGTTGATGGTCCATTGAGCAAGCGCCGCCGGGGTGGTTGTGCAGAGCAGCAGGGCAGTGAAGAGTCGGACCAGTGATTGGGTAAGCATGACAATCCTTAGTAGGTTTGGGCGCAGTATACGCAGGCTTGATATCTCTTTGCAGCGCCGGTTAGACAGATTCGACCGATGTGACGCTGCGGTCCGCTCTGATGCCTAAAGCAGTAATGACTGGTGTCGGCCTGTGGCAGGGTCTGTCGATGTAGGCGACAATAGTGCCATGCAATCTTCTCAGCCCAAACACCGTGTGGTCATTCTCCTGGGGACTAATTACTCAGGCTCACATCTGCTGTCCCACCTGGTCAGCGCTCATTCACAATGTTTCGGGGTGGGTGAACTGCACCGCTACGAACAGCTTGTGGGCACATCAAACCAGGCTCCCGTGGTGTCCCAGTACAATGCGTCGCCCCTGTTTCACAACTTAAGTGAGCAGCCGGTAGGGCAGTGGTACGCTACCCTGGCTGAACGTTTCAGTGCTGATCAGGGTATAGCTGCCCCGGTGATTGTAGATAACTCCAAGAAAGTGAAATGGGTAAAACGCGTTACTGATGGCCAACAGCTGGATTTGCGCCTGGTACACCTGATCCGCGACCCACGTGCGCTGGTGCTGCGCTGGCTCAATACTTATGACTCGGAAAAACGGCGGCGCACCCAGCGTCTGCGGGTCGCCAAACGTGTGCCCAGCCGGGCTGCGCAGATTCTCACCGGCAGTTGGGTAGATGTGTTTATCTATAAGTGGCTGCGCGAAAATCGCCAGATCAGTGACTATATGACCAAGAGCAAAGTGGCTCACGCGGTTGTGACCTACCGTGATGTGGTGTTTGATACGCAAGCTACCCTGCAAAAACTGATGCCCCGATTGGGGCTTGAGTTTGAATCCAGGCAGTTGCGGTTTGGTGAAGGCAACACCTTCGGCACAACAAAAACGGCACATGCAGACGCGGTCAAACAATCAGAAATCCGCCCGGATCTGAAGTGGCAGACACAATTAGACAGCAACGCTCAACGCGTGATTGCGGCTAATAAAGATGTGAGCAGATACCTCTCCACTCTGAATTTACGTCTTGGTGACGATGGTCTCATAGCCAACGCCTAGTCCGGTGAACCAGCTTGGTGCAGCGTAGATCATGGTTGCCTCCATTTGGTTCATTTTGCGGGTCGATAAGGTTGGGTGGCAGCCTGTTTTCTGAATTCCCCTCCAGCTAACCGCAGCCTGGCGTGCAAATTTCGAGTAAATGCTGTTTTGCCGGATGTTGGCACGCCCTTTGCTAATACTTAATCATCGTAATCACATAGCCCAAACCAAGACGTCTGATGAGTATTGTTGACCTGAACATAAAGTCACTTTTGCGTAATAACGTTGAATCTGCCGCCAGGAAGAAAGTGGTGCCAACGTTGTATGAAGAGGATACCTCCAAGTATGCCGGACCGCACAAATGGCAGGTGCAGGCATGGGCAAAATTTGTCAGACGGGTTTGGCGCTATCGAACATACACACGCTGGGTTGAGAAAGCCTGCGAGCACATTGACGTCAAGGGCCTGGAATATCTGGAGAGCCTTACGGGGCCCTGTGTGTTTGTGGCGAATCACAGCAGCCACCTGGATACGCTGGTGATTAATGAATCACTGCCCGCCAGTGTCCGGCAGAACCTGTTCTACGGCGCAGCGCAAGACCGTTGGTTTGTGAAAGGCAAAGACAAAATGGTGTTGCAGCCCTGGTATCAATCGCTGGCTTTGGGCAACTTTCCGATTATGCGCGGTGGTGGTGCCGGTGCCCTGTCATATGCAAATTGGCTGTTGGAAAAACAGCAGCATGTTTTACTTTTTCCCGAAGGCACAAGAGCCACCGGCGATACCCTGGGTGAGTTCAAACATGGCGCGACGTTGTTGGCGCTGCGCAATCAGGTGCCCGTAGTGCCTGTTTATCTCGGTGGACTGCAGAACCTGCGCCCGAAAGGGAGCAAAAGCGCGGGCCGTGGCCAGGCGACCATTGAATTTCTGCCTGCCATAGAGTTTTCCTATGGCAGTGATGTCGCTGCTGCTACCGACAGTATTGCGCGGCGATTGAACCGCGCGCATTTGAATTTCATCAGTAAGAGCAGAATTGAAACAGAGTTAGCCCCAGCAGAAGGCGAGGCTAGCGCCAGTCGATCAACCAGTTTTCCGGAGGCCGCTTAGACTCTCTACTCCAATGTTCCTCTCTCCAAAGGGCTGCGAAGCCTAGGACTCCGGAAACGCAGCGCCCCTCCCCGGGCGCTGCACCTTCTCCCCTTGCGTGCTGGCGACAGCACGCCTCTCCAGAATCCGCCTCTTCCTTGGTAACAAGGAAGGGGCGGATTCACTTATTCCCAGTCTGTGAGTATGGTGCCTGCATAGTTTAAGGAATGGTCTGGGATGAAACATATTGTGCTGCTGGTTCTGATGAGTCTGGCGGGCGTTTTTCCATCAGCCCATGCTGAGCCCACTGCGCAGGACCTGATTCGTGAGATGGGTCTGTTGGAACTGGCGCAGACCCTGGCTGTGACCACCCAATCAGATTGTCTGATTTCGCCCGCCGAGGATACATCGGACTGGCGTGCTCAGAGCACACTGGCCTGTCTTGGGTTGAGTGGTGCAGCAGATACAGTGCTTGAGCGCTGGCACAATCATCCGGTTTACGGACGCTTGAGAGACCCCGGCACACCGCCCTGGTTGCGCGAGCGCGCAGCGGATGTGCGTGATTTTGAGGTGCTGTTAGGCGCTGTTATGGTTGCTGGTTTGAGCACGGGTTACAATATTGTGCCGCAGTTTTTGTGGCCTGAGTTCGATCCTGAAACTACGGTTATTTATAGTCATTCAGACTGGCAGCATGCCCGCCAGTTAGTGGCGCTGTTGGCACTGCATGGACTGACACCTGATGTAACCCCACTGGTGAAGCAGTCCAAATTTCTGTTCCGGGATGAATGGGGTGAGCCCGAGCGTGAATTGCCGCGTCTTGCTAATGGTCAACGGGTTGTCGATCAGCTTGAGTTCGAATTGTTTCTGCATTTTGAAGGGCCAGAGCAGATTGAAAGGTTTGGTGAGCTCGTAACGCAATATGCAAAACGCGACAGTGAAGACGAGGAAGGGTTGCTGCACGGTTCCTGGTGGCAGCCGTTTTATCGGACGTTTGAGCCTAGTGAGCAGTATCACCGTTTAGTTGTCATGCTGGTCAGCTACAAAGGGTTTCGTGTGAATCTGTTGTCTTTGCCTGATCAGGCAGAGGACCGGTTAACCAAGCTCCGTGCGCTGAGCGATGAGTGGCAGGTAATGCCTTACGACATCTGGGTGAATCCCGCCTTTTATCGTTTTCAGTTGGGTGATTACCGTTAGAGTTGTGCTTACCAGTACAAAATCTTCTGTGCGGCAAAGGTCACAAAACCGATCACACTGATGCTGAAAATCAGAATCATCGCCAGGATGTAGTGACCCACATGCAGCTGACCAAAAACGTTGTACATAACCAAGACGGTCGCGCACAAGCCCAGGCCGTACGAAACGATCATGTGCACATAACCGGCCTCTTTAAACTCTTGTTGGCTGAGCTGTAGGGTCAAGGCGCCCATGATGAAAAAGTTTGTCGCGCCTAATGCCAGCAAGAGAGCACTCGACCACCACCAAAGTGAATCCCCGGTATAGCCATAGTTGTAGAATATGATTGGAATCAGCGCGCTTAAGGTTGCCACGATACTGCCGATCATGATTGAGGCTGCGTGGTGAGCGTTGACTCTCGATTTCTGCTCTCCGCCAATCAGGAAAATGATAAATATCGATACGAAGCCGGTTAAGACCAGGGATAGCTGCGCGAAACCGATTAGAAATTCCTGTTGTTCCATGGTCTAAAAACGATCCGTTGGATAAGGCCCATCTGAGAAAACAGTGTCGTGATAACCCTTAATCCCTATGGTCCGGGCTAACGGACTTCTGAAGTCCTGATCTTTGCTGAGCTTGTCTATAGCATGTTCGAAAGTAAACACCGGCTTCCATCCGAGTTGATTCAGTGCATGAGTATTATCATAGACGCGATCCAGAGTTGGAAACATCTTCCAGTTGCGGCGTTGGTATTGCGCGGCGTACTGCGGCACATGTTTCTGTACCACCGCTGCTGCGTCTACCGCCAGTTCGCTGTTGTCACTGCGTTGAAAAGGCGTTGTGCCCGAGATAATAAAGCGGTCGAAACCGATTTCTTCTGCTTTGCGGATTGCCAGCTGATGCGCGCTGACAATATCAGCGATGTCCGCTCGCCGGAAAAGAAGTTCATTCACTTTGAGATTGTCATCATCAAAATGCGCACGCTGCTGTGGTGCGTCGTCCTCTTCGAGGAAAAAACGTGAGGTCTTGAGCACAATACAGGCAAGCGCCGTGTTGCGGTGGAATAACTCGCAAAGATCTTCGGCAGCGGTTTTGCTGACACCATAGATGTTCTTCGGCTTCGGTTGCAGGTTTTCCGTGACCCAGACTGCGGGCTGGCCCGGGGCAGGACGCATGGCATCACCAAAGGTACTGGTTGTACTGGTGTAAATGAAGGAGCCGCAGCCCTGACTGAGGGCTTCTTCCAGCAGATTCAGTGTGCCGGTGATGTTGGTATCAATAAAATCCTGGCGGCTATGTGTACCGACGTGAGGCTTATGCAGGGTTGCAGTGTGGACGATGGCGTCGCACCCGGTGACACATCTGCTGACAAACGATCTGTCAGTAACAGAGCCCACGTGATCGGTGAATTCTGAATCTTTTATGTCCAGTCCGATCGGACGATCACCTGAAGCTCGTAGCGAGCGCATCAGTGCTTCGCCTAAATGCCCCGCACTACCTGTCACCAGTATTTTCATGGGTGGTATGTTGGCCGATCTGTTAATCAGCTGTCCAGGGTGCGGCCAATGAGTTCTTTCATGATCTCGTTGGTGCCACCGTAGATCTTCTGCACCCGGGCATCTTTGTACATCCGCGAGATGGGATACTCGTCCATGTAACCCGCGCCGCCGTGCAGCTGTAAACATTCATCAACAATTTCGCACTGTTTCTGTGTGCACCAGTATTTAGCCATTGAGGCTGTGGCTGCATCCAGTTCGCCACGCATATGTTTGAGTAGACATTGATCAACAAACGTGCGGGCAATCAGTGCTTCAGTCTTGCACTCTGCAAGTTTGAACTTGGTGTTCTGAAAGTCCAGTACCCGTTGGCCAAACGCTTTTCGTTCTTTGACAAAGTCGATGGTCACCTGCAGGGCGCGCTCCATTTCGACGACCGCTGCTTGTGCAATATTGAGGCGTTCCTGTGGGAGTTGCTGCATGAGCTGAATGAAGCCTTTGCCCTCTTCTCCACCAAGCAGATTGCTCTGCGGTACGCGGCAGTCTTCAAAAAACATTTCCGACGTGTCGGCGGCACTCTGCCCTAGTTTTTTCAGATTACGTCCGCGTTTGAAGCCAGGATTGTCACACTCCACAACGACCAACGAGATGCCTTTGGCGCCTTTACTGGGGTCTGTTTTGGCTACCACAATGACCAGGCCACAATTCTGGCCGTTGCTGATATAGGTTTTCGAGCCGTTGATGATGTAATCATCACCATCTTTAATGGCGGTGGTTTTCACGCTCTGCAAATCTGAACCTGTGTTGGGTTCGGTCATGGCAATGGCGCCAATGGTTTCGCCACTGGCCATTTTGGGAAGCCAGCGAGTCTTCTGCTCTTCACTGCCATAGTGCCAGATGTAAGGCGCGACAATCTGGCTGTGCACCTGGTTACCAAAGCCAACCAGGCCGGCGCGCAGCTGTTCTTCGGTGATCACGGTTTCGTGCAGATAGCTTGCACCACCACCACCATATTCGGTGGGGATCTCTGCACACAGCAGGCCAGCTTGTCCAGCTTGTCGCCAGGCGTCAGCACTGACTTGTCCATCTGCTTCCCATTGGTCATTGCGGGGTACAAATTCGTCGTTAAAGAACTTCCGCGCGGCGTCCTGCAGAATTCTCAGCTCTTCGTTCAGCCAGGGGGATTCGTAGTTTTCAAAAATAGCGGTCATTTAGACTCCAGGAAATGTGGGTGAATCAGGGTAAGCCGGCAGCGGGGAAGGGGGCGTCGTATACTTCGACGCGCGCATCACGCTGGTTGCGGCATTTGTCCGGATGGGAGGAGGAAGAGGTCAGGACGTAGAGTTTGTCCTCACCAATCATGCAGGCAAAGGCGCCTCTGGTCAGTGAAATTTCATGTGTAATCGCGCCACCTTCGACCTGTCGAATACAGTTGTTGGTGGTAGGTGAGGCGCTCCATATGCCGTGCTCCTCATCCAGACATATCCCATCTGGAACGGCTTTTTCAGGCAGCTCGGCCCATACCCGTTTGCCGCTCAAGCTGCCGTCGGCGGCAATGTCGAATGCGGTCAGGCGAGAGGCAAAAGTTTCAGCTACGACCAGAGTTTTGCCATCGTCGGTGATTATGGCGCCGTTCGGAAACATCAGATCATCATCTTCGACATGACAGGCGCCGTCCGGGTCAACGCGGATCAGTTGTGCCGGTTTTGGTTTGTCGTTGTTGTGCAGGTCAAAACCAAAGTTGCCAACATAAGCGCGCCCCTGTTGGTCTACCACCATGTCGTTGCAGATGCCGGATGCGAGGTGTGCCAGGTCAGCATGTACGCTCAATGACCCGCCGTCCAATCTGAGCAGCTGTTTTTTATTCATGCTGACAATCAGCAGGGTCCCGTCCGGTAACCAGCCTAAACCGGAAGGTTGATCGTCGGCCAGAGTAACTACGCTGGTGCGCACACCCTCTGGCGTTACTTTCAAGACCTCCTGACCATGCATATCGGACAGCCATAAGGCTCCTTCGCGAAAACGCGGTCCTTCACCGAAACACAGCCCGTCTATCAAGATTTGGGGAGGCACAGCTCACTCCGTCAGGAAAAACACCAGTTTATGGTGTTTTACAGCTCTTTTACCAATATCTTCCGCTCTAGCGCTTGGTTCATCTGCACGCTCCCTTTATAGTTTTGCGGTGTCGACAATATATGTTGGCTACACCATAAGGAGAATTTTGAATGTATTTATTAAAGAGACTGGGTTGGGTTGTGCTGCTGGCAGGATTAGTGGCTTGTGGCCAGTCGAATAGCGGCGCAAATGATGCTTCTGAAGCTGGTTCCAACATGATGGACAGCGCATCGGATGCAATGGAGTCTACTGGTAACATGCTGGATGATGCCGCTGAAAGTGCATCAAGCATGGTTGACGAGGCTGCTGAAAGCGGCGCGGCTATGGTTGATCAGGCGACTGAAGCAGGCGCCGACATGGTAGACGAAGTGAAAGCTATGGGTGCAGATGTCGTTGAGGGCGCTGAAGAAATGGGTGACGATGCAGCAGATGCAGTCAGCGACGCCCTGTCTGAGGGTGCTGAAAAAGTTGACGGCGCTCTGGACGGTTTAACCAACTAAGCTTCCTGCTGATCTACGTTAACGGTCGCAGCGTCTATAGCGGCCAGATCGAGGTTGTCAGCTTTGGCAACCTCGATTAATGCCTGTTCAAATATGCCTCTCGCAGCCGCCGACAGTTCCGCCAGATGCTGATGTAGGACCTTCTCTTTGGGGTCCGTGTCTTCACACTCCCGACAATACTGCTCAAAAGCACCAATGCTCATCAACAGGCTGGCGATGTGATTAGGACATTCACACTGTAACCCTGGCGTCATGGCTGCGATCTGGGCCAGTGTCGCGTCGCTGAAGCGTGCCCGGGCGGCGGGTTGCTCGAGCAGGTCTGAATCAATGGGTTTGGATTGCAACGCACTCATCAATGTCTCTGCTGACATTGGCGCCTGGGTGACGCTGGTGCCACCGAGTTCAAGGTGCCGCAGGCTGGTGCGGTTGGCAAAATTGTAGACGACAATAATTTTTTCGTATGCACTGCGCAATGCAAGCAGACGATCAACATCTTCGGGATTGATCGTCGCCAGTTCTATTACCAGAGCCTGGTGTTGAGTATGTTCAGGCTGGCTCAGCCACTCATCGCCACTGCAGGCCTGCCGACCAATTTCCTCGAACTGCGCCGCAGGCAGGGCCAGGTGTGCAAGTTTGTGCCCAACCAGCAGTATCGAATCGACAATCGCGTGTTGCGCATCCTGCAGATTATGTGTGTTGGCTAAAGCTTTCAGACCATCCAGATCAAGGGCCGCCAGGTGCGTGAGGCTGTGGCCATTGTCGCTGAGCAAGCGCACAAGACGCAGCAGTTCCACATGTGACATGTCATAGACCCGTCGGCCCGTCGGCGTTCTTTGCGGCGTGCCGATATTGTGGCGGCTTTCCCATTTGCGAAGCGTGTGTGCAGGCACACCGGTGAGTTGTGCTACAGCAGCGATTGTAAGTTGTTCCATGGAGTAGGGTCTTGTCATCGTCTAATGAATGTCTAAGTGTATGGATACACTGGCCGGTGGTGAAGCGAAAATGTGTCGTTATTGTTTGACCAATACTGGACAGTTTCCGTTAGGTTCGACAATTGCGTTCCGAATAGTTAATTAATGTACAGGTTATTGCCCACGATCACAATAAAGTCTAGTATATGTCTTAGTTATAAAGCCAAAAGGCCAATAATGTCCAAGTTAGCAGTAATCATGGGTAATCAGTTGTACGATCCTCAGTGGCTGCCTGATGCTGAGCAGACCACGGTTCTGATGGTTGAAGACCGCCGCTTGTGCACCCGCCACCGATACCACCAGCAGAAGCTCGGGTTTTTGCTGGGCGCGATGCGCGAACACGCCCAAGGGCTCCGCAATGCAGGGTACAAAGTGGTTTACCAGGAACTGGATGCAAATAAAACGTTGTGCCAGCAGACTGTGGCTTTAGCGACCCAGTTGGATGTCGCAGAAATAGTGGCTTTCACTCCGGCCAATGCAGGCCAGCGTCGCTATCTTCAGATAACCGCGCAAAAAGCCGCCAGACCGTTGCGGTTGCTCGATGATCCGATGTTTCTCACGTCCCCGGAGGATCTCGAGTGTCTGGCGTCTGATAATCCACGCATGGCGCATTTTTATCAGGCCCAGCGCAAACGCCTGGATCTGTTAATGGCGGACGACCGCCCGCTGGGTGGGAAGTGGAGCTACGACGGCGACAACCGCAAGGCGGTGCCGAGCCATATTGATTTACCTGAACTCAGCCGGGCCAGACACAGTGACCTGACCTGTGAGGCACTGCGGAGCGTCCGACAGATTTTCGCCGACCATCCAGGCGATGCGGAAAATCTCTGGATTCCGACTACCCGAGAAGGTGCAAAAGCGCAGTTAGGAGAGTTTGTTGCAGAGCGCCTGGTGGGTTTTGGAACTTATGAAGATGCTATCTCAAGACGCTCGGCAACCCTGTTTCATAGCGTATTGTCGCCTTATCTGAACATCGGTCTGCTGACGCCGCAGGAAGTCATCAGTGCGGTGATGGACTATGCGATGTGCCATGACGTTCCCATCAACGATGTCGAAGGTTTTGTTCGGCAGATTATCGGCTGGCGTGAATTCATGCGTGGGATATATGTGCATCATCGCAAAGGCATGCGCAGCGGTAATATCTGGAACGCACAGCGTCGTATGGGGCGCAGCTGGTCAAATGCAGCTACGGGTATCCCGCCCTTAGACGGCGCGCTGAAAAATGCCCAGCGTTATGCCTGGAATCACCATACGGAACGGTTGATGGTGATCGCCAATATGATGAACCTGTGTGAAATCCGACCCGCCGACGCTTATGAGTTTTTCAGCAGCAATTATCTCGATGCCTATGACTGGGTGATGGTGCCTAACTTGTTTGGCATGGGTCTGACCTCAGACGGCGGGACTTTTGCATCCAAGCCTTATATCTGTGGGTCGAACTACATGTTGCGCATGAGTGATTATCTGAAGGGTGAATGGTGTGACGTTGTTGATGGACTGTTCTGGCGGTTTGTTGAAAAGCACCAAACCCTCCTGCGTTGTAATGCACGTGCCAGTTTTATGGTGCAGGGCCTGGGGCGCATGAAACCTGAGCGCCGAGAGCGTATTTTCGCCAGAGCCACACAGTTCCTTGAGCAGAACACCTTATGAATACGCTGATTGTGGGTGCTTCAGGCGGCATTGGCGCAGCGATTTGTCAGGTCGCGCTGGCGGACGAGAAAGTAACGCGTCTGCTGGCCACCAGCCGCAACCCCGACAGCCTGCCAAGGCATAACAAGTTGTTACCAGTGGCTCTGGATCTCTGCGATGCGCAAAGTATTGCGAGCGCCGTAGAGGCGATCCGAGCTGACGTCAGTCAAATCGACCGGCTGATAGTTGCTTCAGGCTTTCTGCATGACGGTGAACGGGCACCGGAAAAAGCGCTGCGCGATCTTGATGGTGCAACCATGCAAACGGTGCTGCAGATAAATGCGGTAGCACCGATGCTGGTTTTTGCGGCGCTCGAACCGCTGCTTAAAAAATCTTCAGAGCCGAAGATCCTGTTTTTATCTGCTCAGGTAGGCAGTATTGGCGACAATCGGTTAGGGGGTTGGTACAGCTACAGAATGGCAAAAGCTGCTCTGAATCAGGGTGTGAAAACTGCTGCAGTAGAAGCGGCTCGTTGGCGAAACAACGCAACGCTTATTGCGGTTCACCCGGGTACAACTTTAACAGCGCTGTCTGAGCCTTTTCTGGCGCGCCGTCAGGGCCAGGTGCAGACGCCCGAGAGCTGTGCAGCGTTGATTTGGCAACTGGCGGAACAGGTTGAGGCAGGGTCCAGCGGTTCGTTTCTGCGCGCCGACGGCACAAATCTGCCCTGGTAGCAGTTTGTGCCGCGGTGCGCGTTTTAACTAAAGATATTTAGCCAGATCTGCACCAATATCTTCGGGTGTCGTCTGTGGCGCGTAACGGGCGAGAACTTCGCCGTCTTTGCCGACCAGGAATTTGGTGAAATTCCAACCAATGTCCGCATTGCCATCGTCACCGGCCTTAGCCGCTTTGAGGTAGTTGTACAGCTCACAAGCGTTGCTGCCATTCACCTCTATTTTGGCAAACATAGGAAAGTTGACATCGTATTTAGACTGGGCAAATTCGAGAATTTCTTCATTGCTGCCTGGTTCCTGGGCACCAAACTGGTTACAGGGAAATCCTAAAACCGTGAAATTCTGATCCGCATATTGTTCCTGTAATGTACGCAACCCGGCGTACTGATTGGTCAGTCCTCAGCGGCTCGCCAGGTTGACGATCAAGCAGATTTTGTCTTTGTATTGCCCGAAAGCAGTGTCCTGACCGCTGATGTCAGCCATGTGCAGGTCGTGAAATTGGCTCATAGATAGTTGCTCCTAGAGTGATTGTCGGAAAATCCCGAGCCCAGCTATGGTAGCGCCGATGCTCTGTTCTGGGTACCATCACGGGGTTTGGGGATAGGACACTAAATCTGTGTGTCTCTATACGGAACAAATTTTGTTGCATCGGCACCCGTTAAGAAGGCGTCTTTAGCAAACATTTCAATACAAGAGAGATACAGGAGAACCACCATGCGCGATGTAGTTATCGTCGACAGTGTGAGAACCGGTCTGGCAAAAGCCTTTCGCGGAAGTTTTAATTTAACCCGTTCGGATGACATGTTGGCGCACTGCATCGACAGTCTGCTCGAGCGTAATGACATTGACCCGGCAGAAGTTGAAGATGTTGTAGTTGGCGCGGCCACCCACACGGGTGAGCAGGACGGCAACCTTGCTCGTCTTGCGGTGATTCTGTCCAAACTGCCCGTCAGTGCGGCAGGTGTCAGCATCAACCGTTTCTGTTCTTCGGGTCTCCAGTCCATCGCGATTGCGGCTAACCAGATTGCATCGGGTCAAACCGATGTGGCAATGGCTGGCGGTGTGGATTCAATTTCCATGCGCACACGTCAGGAGCCTGGCAAAGCTAAGCAGAACAAGCGTCTGTTAGAAGAAAAGCCGGAAATTTTCATGGCCATGGGCAACACCGCTGAGGTTGTTGCGCGTCGTTACCAGGTAACCCGCGAACAGCAGGACGCCTATGCACTGCAGAGCCAGCAGCGTTACGCGGCAGCAGTAGACGCCGGCAAAATTGCTGAAGAAATTGTGCCGATGAAGGCCACGATGCTCAAAGTCGACAAAGAAAGTGGTGAAGAAAGCCATGTAGACGTAGTGGTTGATAAAGACGAATGTAATCGTCCAAACACCACTCTCGAAGGCCTGGCAGGACTGCCTCCGGCATTTGAAGAAGACGGTTCAGTAACTGCGGGTAATGCCTCTCAGTTGTCTGACGGCGCGTCCATGACCCTGCTTATGAGCGCTGAACGCGCTGCTCAACTTGGTCTGCAGCCACTGGGCATCTATCGCGGCTTCACCGTTGCTGGCTGTGAACCTGATGAGATGGGCATTGGTCCAGTATTTGCCATTCCGCGTCTGCTGAAAAATGCAGGTCTGGATCTCGGCGACATCGATTTGTGGGAACTGAATGAAGCATTTGCCTCACAGTGCCTCTACTGCCGTGACGCTCTGGACATTGATAATGAGAAATACAATGTTCTTGGTGGCAGCATCTCTATTGGCCACCCCTTTGGTATGACGGGTTCTCGCCAAACCGGCCTGGTTCTGCGCGAGCTGCGTCGTCGTAATCAGAAGTATGGCGTTGTCACCATGTGTATTGGTGGCGGCCAGGGTGCTGCAGGTTTGTTTGAATCTGCGTAACCGGGCCCGTTAGCCCTCAAAGAAAGCGTCTGCTCAGTCAGGCGCTTTTTTTTTGCTCGTTTAACCCTTGAAAAAATGTTTCCAGCCCCTAGAAATTTTCTACCTCAATTAATGAGGTGACGTAACGCTTCTGTTTTAGAAGCAATTTTTTGTTCATGATTAATTGAATGGAGGTTGTTTTTACTATGGCAACGTTTGATATTTCTCCGCTTTTTCGTTCAAGCACCGTCGGCTTTGATAGAGCTTTGAATCAGCTGAATACGGTGATGAATCTGGATACCCCGGGTTTCCCTGCCTACGATATTTTACGTATGGATGAAGACGATTTTCGGATCAGTTTGGCGGTCCCGGGCTTTAACGAAGAAGACATTACGGTGGAAACTCGTGAAGGTGCCATCTGGATCAAAGGCAATCGTGATGTTGACCTGAATCACAACCGTTATCTGTATCGAGGTGTTGATGTGCAGGGTTTCCAGAGATCTTTCCAGCTGCCCGAACACGTCAAAGTGCGAGGCGCTCGCCTTGAAGCGGGCATGCTGCATATCGATTTATACCGTGAACTTCCGGACGCACTGCGACCTCGTCGCATAGAAATTGCGACTGCCGATGAACATAAATCGGTATTAGAGGATGCATCCAAGGCGGCATAGCTACCTGCAGGTGCGGGGGCGGTACTCGCCCCCGCAAAGTCCGCACCAAAGCCGCTGCAATGCGAATTGAAACATATTGAAACGTTCAGGAAATTGCTGTGTAACAGCGGCTGAGGACAATACCGGGCTGTTTTATGGGGTTTAGCCAGGGCATTTTTCCGCATTCTCTATTTGCTGTAGTATGCAGGTTGCAGATTTTTTTGAAGGTATTCAGTGATTCATTATTTCGGGGTCAGTAACGTAGGTTCAGCAGTCGCAATCTTTGCGCTGATTGCAAGCCATAGCGTGCTGGCTGAAAGTGATGAAGCGCAAGCTGCGCAATCCACCCCACAAGCGCAGTTGTCTGAAGACCAGTTAAGCCAGGGCAGTCTTGCAAAGCGCAGTGATTCCGAATTAACCGCGCTAACCGCCCAGTGGAGTCAACTGAGCCCTGAACAACGCCGCCGACTGCTGGCCGAAGTACGTGGCCGCATGGTCAACAATAACCAGCTGCGCCGCCCTCAGGGTGTCATTGTGCAGCGCAGGTACGGGCGCGTAGTGCGTAAATCGGACGGCTCTGTGGTCCTGCAGACACGGGTGGTTCAAATTACGCCGCGCAACAATCCTGATCAGCAGGCTCAGTCGAACACGCCGCGAGTAACCTTCGGCATAGGCTTTGAACAGCGTACACGAGCGCCTGGCCGCGTCGCCCATGAGGCGCCGCAATCGGAAGCGACACAACCTGTTGTTACGGTCGGTCAAGAATCCTCCGCAAGCGCCAACCGCTGACGCAGTATGGATGCCGAAAGTGCCAACCTGCTGGTTGTCGATGATGACCCGGAACTGCGTGAACTCATCCAGGCATACTTAGAGCAGCAAGGCTTTCAAGTCGCCTGCGTCGAATCCGGTGAAGCCATGGACAGGTATCTGGTTGAGCATGAAGTTGACCTGCTGATCTTAGATCTGATGTTGCCCGGTGAACACGGTCTGTCTATCGCTCAGCGGATGAAAAAACACTCCGACCTGCCCATTATCATCGTTTCAGCGCAGGGCGAAGATGTGGACCGAATTGTCGGCCTGGAAGTGGGGGCTGATGATTATCTGTCCAAACCGTTTAATCCTCGCGAGCTGCTCGCCCGTGTGCGTGCGGTTCTGCGCCGTTCGTCCTCATCGGGTGCCGGAGCAGAAGAAGTCGCTGCCACAGAATTTGGCGTGTTTGCGTTAGATACAAACGCCCATCGGCTTACCAAAAATGGTGATACGGTGCCATTAACTTCTGGCGAATTTGATCTGTTGTCAATTTTGGTGGCCCATCCGAATAAAGTCCTCGACCGGGATCGAATTCTTGATCTGCTGACGGGCGCTGAGCGCTCACCCTTTGATCGCTCTATTGATGTACGCGTCACGCGTTTACGCTCAAAGATTGAACCTGACCCAACCCAGCCGGTCTACATCCGGACCATCTGGGGCAAAGGGTATATGTTCTGCCCGGCAGGCAATGGCTGACAGTTCTGGCCTGCGTGGCCCGTCTTCCCTGCTGGTCCGCACAACCCTCATTCTGGCAGTTGGCGCTCTGCTGATTGTTGTTATTGCAACGTTTGCCCTTTATCTGTTTGTGATCAGTCCCATAACCGAGCAGTCGGCTGATGATGAAGCTGCTCTGCTGGTATTATCTGCTCAGACCTGGGTGGAGCTGCCGCCGGAGGCGCGGCCCTATTTCGAACTCGAAATGGCGGAAAGCCATGATCTGATTATCAGTGAGGCCCATCAGGCACTGCCGGAAGTGGCCGGATATTCACAATATTTCGAATTATTGAAAACGGAGCTGTCTCTGCGCATAGGCGAAGAGGTTGTGCTGCTTGAAGGTGACGATCTGCTCTGGGTAGATGTACCCATGGGTGGGTTTGCCTTACAGATCGGGTTTTCTCCCGAGCGTCGGGAAATTCAGCCACTTTATGTTGCCATGGTGATTGTCGGGCTGGGCGCGGGCATTGTCTTTTTCACCTCGCTGTTTATCGTGCGTCGGATTGCGCGGCCGCTGGTCAATGTTGCGCGACAAGCGGAAAGCTTTCGCGGTGCAACGCAGATTGAGCCCCTGCCGGAAACAGGTCCAAGAGAGCTTGTTTCTCTGGCGCGTAACTTCAATATCATGGCATCTGAAATTGGTTTGCTGCTCACGAACAGAACCACGTTGCTGGCCGGAATATCTCATGATCTGCGCACCCCGCTGACACGCATGCGCCTGGCGCTGGCGTTGCTGCCGGACAATGTAGATCCCCAGCTGGTCAGTCGCTTCGAACGTAATCTGGAATCCATGGATGAGTTGATCAGCGATGCCCTGAGGTTTGCGCGTGGCACCGGAGAAGTGCCGCAGGAAATTGAGCTGCTGCCGTTTGTGCAGGAAATTCTCGCCACCTTTGAGCGGAACATTACAGCAGACCTGCGTATCCCTGGTGAATTCAGGATAAAACTTCCGCCCAGTGCGTTCCGGCGGGTTTTGATCAATTTGATTGCCAACGGTTTTCAGCATGGCGGTAACGTCTCAGTGGTTGCCACCACCAACGAGATACAGGTGATCGACGACGGACCTGGAATACCGGAGGAGTTTCGCGAACAGGTGTTCCAGCCCTTTTTCCGTCTGGATAGTTCACGTAGTGCAACCACCGGTGGTAGCGGCCTGGGATTGGCCATTGTGCAGCAGCTGTGTCAGGCGCATCAGTGGCATGTGGGTATTGATAATGGTCCGCACGGTGGTGCTCGGGTGACCTTGAAATTTGTATCAGCAGCTTGAAACAAAATGTCACAAAAACGGCAGGCTTAGACATTCTCTTGAAACGTCTTTGCCGCATAGTAGGCAACATCACCCAACGGTGATGTCTATCCCCTTAAGATCTCTGTTTTGGGTAACGACCCTGAGATCCTCTTGAAACCGCCAGCTTCCTCTCCAGGCTGGCGGTTTTCTTTTTTACGGCAGGCGGCTTTATCCCACCTGATGCATATGCACATCCTGTTGTGGGTACGGAATAGATATGTTTTCCGCATCGAAGCGCAGTTTCACCGCCTCCATGGTGTCAAAGTACACGCCCCAGTAATCGCTGGACTTGGTCCATACGCGACAGGTGAAGTTAACTGAGCTGTCTGCCAGTTCAGACAGAACCACAAAAGGCTCCGGGTCTGAGAAAACGCGCTCGTCTTCAGCGAAGATGGCTTTCAACGTTGCTTTAGTTTTTGCAATGTCGTCGTTGTAGCCAATGCCGAATACAAAGTCCACACGCCGCGTCTCTTCAGCTGAAAAGTTGGTGATGATGCCGTTCGAAATCGAGCCGTTCGGCACGATAATAACCTTGTTGTCAGGCGTCTTGATGATCGTATTGAAGATCTGAATGGCTGACACGGTGCCGGCCACACCCTGTGCGTCAACAAAGTCACCGACCTTGTAAGGGCGGAACATAAGGATGAGCACGCCACCGGCAAAGTTTGCCAGGCTACCCTGTAGTGCCAGGCCAATAGCCAGACCAGCCGCACCTAAAATGGCAATAAAGGATGTGGTCTCGATACCCACCATGCTGGCGACGCTGATGAACAGCAGTGCTTTCAGAATGATTGAAGTAAGGCTACCCAGAAACTTGGCTAAGGTAGGGTCGGTTTTGCTGGCATTCAGACCTTTATTAACAACATTGACTACCCGCTTGATGACCCACAGGCCCACCAGCAGAACAACGATAGAAAGTATAAGTTTCGGCCCGTACTGTATGGCCATCTCAACGGCCTGGTCGATATAACCCTGTATGCGGTCAGCCGACAGCTCCTCTGGAATAACTTCCATTATGTGTCTCCAAATTTAGTTTTTTTCTTATTAACATAAGTACTGGACGCTAGTGTGTAACATTGAGTAATGTTGCGCGCCCGCAGGGTAGTGGATTTTACACGGGTTTTAAAATCCGGGTATACAGCTTTCGAAGCATCCCGTACCCTGCGCGAATTCTTATAAAGGAAACACTGATGAAAAGTTTTTTGATGTTGGCAATCACTCTGCTCTGGACAGCGAATGTTCTGGCCGATGGCCACAACAATCCTCACAAGGGGCAGTTTTACTTATCACCTGGCGCTATTGCTTATACAGGACCGGACTCCTCCAATATCGGTTATGAAGATACCGAAGTGGGTGGTGCGCTGATTCTGGGTTACGGGCTTTCGGACAACTGGTCTGTAGAAGTCATGGCCGGCAGGGTTGAAGATGCTGGATTTGATAACCGTTACGGATCAGGGGAAGACGAGGTCAATCTGCGTTGGTTGGACTTCGTTTATAATTTGCCGGCAAAAAATGCCTGGCAGCCCTTCATGCTGGTTGGCGGTGGCCGAACTGAGTACGACATGGACGGAGTTCGTCCGGATGCGCGTGATAACCAGTTGAATGTCGGCGTTGGTGTTTACCGCCAGTTAAGCGATCACATCTCGCTGCGTGCAGATGTGCGCGGTGTCAGCAGCTCTAAAGTAGGTGGTCTTGAGCCGTTTGCATTTCTGGGTCTGACCGGATTTATCGGTTCCCCCGCCGCACCTGCTGCGCCTGCTGACTCAGATGGCGATGGCGTACCAAACGATATGGACAACTGTCCTACCACACCTGCTGGTCGTGTGGTTGACGCTCAAGGCTGTGAGCTGGATGCGGACAACGACGGTGTTGTCGATGGCGCGGATCAGTGTCCTGATACACCAGCTGGTGTTTCCGTTGATCAGAACGGTTGTCCTCTAGACGCCGACGGTGACGGTGTACCGGATTTCCGTGACGACTGTCCTGATTCTGAAGCGGGTGCCAAAGTTAATGACCGTGGTTGTTACATTGAACTCGAAGAAGAAGTCACGATTGACATGAGTATCGAGTTTGAGACAAACAAAGCGCAGCTGCGCCCTGATCACACCAGTGAATTGGCACGTGCGGTACGTTTCCTGCGTCAGTATCCGAACACCAAAGCGGTCATCGAAGGCCACACGGATACCGATGGTGCGGCGTCTTACAACCAGAATCTGTCAGAGCAGCGAGCCAAAGCGGTTTACGAGTATCTCGTCAACGAAGCGGGTGTTGATGCGAGCCGTCTGACCTGGGCTGGCTTCGGAGAGACACGGCCGATTGCGTCTAACGACACAGCAGCAGGTAAGCAAACAAACCGTCGTGTCAGCGCGGTTGTGTCTGGTACTCATAAGGTTCGCCAGTAACGGCGGACCTTGAGAGGTCTCGGAGGTAATGATGCAACGCGTTCTTATTCTCTGCTGCATACTGCTCTTAGGCGCTTGTGAAAGCGCCTATTACGGTGTGCAGGAGCAGTTTGGTAACCTTAAAAACGACATTCTGGTCGACCGCGTTGAAGACGCAATGGAAGCCCAGGAAGATGCCAAAGAAGAATTCAAGAGCGCTTTGGAACAGTTTGAGGCTGTTGTTGGTGTACCGGAATCGCAGCTGAAAACGGTTTACAACCGGCTCAATGATGCGTTTGAAGATGCGGAAGACAAAGCGTCAACCGTATCTGAACGCATCGACTCGGTGGAAGACGTTGCTGACGATTTGTTTGAGGAATGGGCGGAAGAGTTAGAGCAGATCTCCAACGCTTCTCTGCGCCGCCAGAGTGCGGAAAAACTGCGTACCTCGAAGCGCCGCTCATCCGATCTGATTAAAGCCATGCGTCGTGCGGAATCGCGTATGGCACCGGTGCTGACCTCTTTTCGAGATCACGTACTTTTTCTCAAGCACAATCTCAATGCACAGGCGGTGGCGTCTCTGCAGGGTGAACTTGGTGGCATCGAATCTGACGTCGGGCGCCTGATCCGCGATATGGAAGCCTCCATTGCCGAAGCGCAGAGTTTCATCAACACAATGGAAAACAGCTAAGCCAAGCAGGAAGGTCATATGAAAACGTTTGCTTGGGTCGTTGTTGTGCTGCTGCTTCTGATTGGCGGTGCGGTGGCTTGCGTGGCACTTAATTCTGGTAGCCTGGTTAAAAGTGGGATCGAAAAATTCGGTCCCCAGTTTCTCGGTATTGAGGTTCAGGTCGATAACGTAGACCTTGCCATCACGGAAGGTTCGGCGGCAATCAACGGCTTACGTCTGGGTAATCCAGCGGGTTTCTCCGGTGCGGACATGATGCAGGTTGATCAGATCAAAGTTGTGCTGGATACAAGTCAGATCAGCGATACCCTTGTAGTGATGAAAGAAGTTGTCATAGACGGCGCAAATATTACTGCCATCGCCAAGGGGCAGCAGACCAACTTTCAACAGCTGATGGCTAATCTGGAATCTGCAACGGGTGGTGATTCGCAGGCATCAACGGATGCTGGGCCTGGAACAAAGTTCATCATCGATAAATTCAGTTTCACCAACACTCAGGCAGCCTTGGACTCAGATGTGGTCGGGCAGCTGGCGTTAACTATTCCAGATATACGGCTGCAGAATATTGGCCGGAAAAGTAACGGTGTCACCGGAGCGGAACTGGCACAGCAGATACTGAAACCATTGACTGCATCTATCAGTAATGAGGCGGTGAAACAGGGGCTGGATATCGACGGCGTGAAGCAGAACATTGAGCAGAGAGTCCGCGATAAAATTGGCAGTGGTCTGAAAAGCCTGACCGATAGCCTGAGTCAGTAAACCCTTAAGCCCAGAAAAAGACAATGCAACTCGATAACGTTCTATATGACGTGCAGGGCCCTATGGCTCTGATCACAATCAATCGTGCCGAAAAACACAATGCTATTTCTTTAGCGACCCTGGACGACCTGCATACAGCGGTTGATGCAGCAGCGGATGATGATGCCGTACGTGTGATCACGATTACTGGTGCAGGCGGCAAAGCGTTTGCTGCAGGTTCTGATCTTTCTGAGGTCATTCACAGAGATTTTAAAAAGGCCCTTGAACCTATTGTTCAAGGCCTGGCGGATAAGCTGGAGCGTACGCCCAAACCTACCATCGCTGCCATTGATGGCATCTGTATGGGTGGTGGGCTGGAAGTAGCGCTAGGTTGTGACCTGCGGGTAGCAACGCCACAGTCGCGCTTTGCAACACCTGAAGGCAAGCTCGGTATTATTCCCGGTGGCGGAGCGACTGCACGTCTGCCTCGCATTGTCGGGCGTGGCTGGGGTATGGAAATGTTGCTGATGGGTGAACCCATCGGGGCTGAGCGGGCCCTGGCGATAGGTCTCGTGACCCGCCTGGTTGAATCGGATGAACTGCTCGCGGAAACCCGTCGTATGGCTGATCACCTTGCAGGATTTGCGCCGTTTGTGCCACGCACGATGAAAGCTATGGTGCACTTTGGCATGGAAGCGAGCCTCGCGGGCGCGCTGATGTTCGAGAAATACGCGCAAGGCGCACTGGTGCAGACTGAAGACAAAGTTGAAGGCATCAATGCGTTTTTGGAAAAACGCGACCCCGAATTCAAAGGCCGCTAATTCCTGCTGGCACTCCGCAACCGCCTATTAGATACTCGTTCTCCTTTGATTTTTCAATGTAAGGGAGAGGCTTATGGCTGTTGACAAGTTTCCCGTAGAAGCGAGCCACATCATGATGTTTGCGCGTTCTGTGGGTGATGATAACCAGATTTACTATGATGCGGATTACGCTGCGGGTACTGAGCCCGGCACGATAATTGCGCCACCGACCTTTGCGCAGTCCAGCGCACAGTTTGATCCGGATTACTTTCTCAGACCGAAAATTGGGGAGCCCTGGTTCGGTTCAGGCGGTTCGCCCACCGGCATTAAAAAAGAATCTTCCGGCGGTGGTGGCGGCGGTGGTGGTGGCGGTCTGCATGCTGAACAGCATTTTGAATATCACCGTCATCTGAAGCCCGGCGACGTGCTGACGGCAACCAACCTGCCCGGCAAAACCTGGGAAAAAGAAGGCAAGCGATCCGGCAAGCTGGTGTTTTCTGAATCGATCACAGAATATCGTGATCAGAATGGCGAGTTGGTGATTACAGCCCGTGGCGTTGGTGTTCGCACGGAACGGCCAGTGGACAAATAGGAGGTAACATGGCGTTAAAAGCAGCAGATTTGAATGTAGGTGATACCTATTCTGAGTGTCTGGTCGAAGACCTTAAGCGCACGCAGATTGTCCAGTATGCAGGTGCATCAGGAGACTACAACCCACTCCACACGGATGAGATTTTCACCGTTGAGGTGGCAAAATATCCGTCCGTGTTTGCCCACGGTATGTTGACCATGGGCATGACCGGCGCGATGTTGACCAACTATGTTGGTGATGGTCGGCTGACCAAATATGGTGTGCGGTTCACCAGTCAGGTATGGCCCGGTGATACGCTGAACTCTACCGCCACGGTAGAAAGCATCGAAGATGGGCTGGTTAATCTGAATGTGGAAACAGTCAACCAGGACGGTGTAAAAGTATTGTCAGGGTACGCCCAGGCACGGGTCGATTAGACACTGTCGATATTTGTGAGGTCCCAGCGGGGCCTCACAAAAACTTCCGATCTCACCACTTCTCTACTGACGTACGCACGTCCAGCTCGAAGGTCCAGGCCCGTCGCGGCTGCTGATACAGGTACATAAAACCGTCCACGATACCGTTGATATCTATCATACCATCTTCACCCAGACGTTCCGCGTATTCCGGAAAAGCTTCGATAATTTTGTCGCCGCCGATAGGGCCATCGACCACAACATGGCCGACATGAACACCCTCAGCCCCGTATTCTTTGGCCATGGCCTGAGCCAGATTGCGCAGCGCACCTTTGGATGAATTGAAGGCGCCAAATTTTGCGCGTCCGCGCAGTGAAGCACTGGCACCGGTAAACAGCAGGGTGCCGCCATCACCTTTTAGAAATTGTTGGGTTGCAGCTTTGCCGAATAGAAAGCCGCCAAAGCAGCACACACGCCAGCTGTGTTCGAAGTAACTGGCATCCATGTCGACGATGCGCCCGGGGGTGTTATTGCCCGCATTGTAAATGGCGATATCCAGGTCTGCCCCCGCGCTGTCAAACAGCCCGTTAACGTCCGCCTCAATGGTGGCATCTGCAACTTTTGCGACAGCGCTACCGCCAGCATTTGCGATTGCCGTGACAACAGCGTCCAGGCTGATCTGGGTGCGACCTGCAACAATCACGTGCAAACCGTGTTTTGCCAGGCGCAGGCAGAGTTGTCCTCCAAGACCATTGATAGGCCCTACACCAAGAACAACAGCCGTTTTGGTCATGTACCAATAACCTGTTTAAACGCGCGCAGGGTAACGTGGGCAAACAGACCTGCTGCTGCATAAGGGTCTGCGGCGGCAAACGCCTGCGCAGCCTCGCGGCTGTCAACATCAATGACAATGATGGAGCCCACCATTGTCGTTTCGTCGTCACCCAGCATCGGTCCTGCAAAGCGCACGTCATAGTTCTTCAGAAACGCCAGGTGGTCTTCCCGCACAGCTTTGCGCAGCGATTCACTGTCGGGTTTATCTTCGCAAACGAGTACATAAAGCATCAGTTTAAAGCCGCCTTCAGGGCGTCCACAGTTTCGAGCAAGCCTTTCCGTGAGCTTTCAAACATCGCTGCAGTCGCCATGAAATCATGCACCATGCCGTCATAACGTACTGCGGTAACCTGATTGCCGGCAGCCTGCAACGCATCAGCATAGGCCTCGCCTTCATCCCGCAAAGGATCGAATTCGGCGGTAACAACCAGTGCCGGTGGCAGGTTCGAGAGGTCAGTTGCCAGTAAAGGAGAAGCATCCGCTTCCTTGCGCTGAGCCTGATCCGGACAGTAAGTGTCCCAGAACCATCGCATGGTTTGTGTTTCCAGCAGATACCCCTCACCGTTTGCATCATACGACGGGCGGGTAAGGTCACAGTCCACCACCGGGTAAAGCAGGCATTGAAAGGCGATTTGCGGCCCATTCTGGTCTCGTGCCTTTAATGCAACAACGGCGGACAAATTGCCGCCAGCACTTTCGCCGGTCAGGCCAATTTTGCCGTTGCCGTTCAATTCATGCATGTTGTTCGCGGCCCAGACAGTGGCGTCATACGCGTCGTGAACAGCTGCAGGGTAGGGCGCCTCTGGCGCCATACGATAGTCGACCGAGACGACCACAACCTGTGCCAGGGTGGCCAGCTCGCGGCAGACGGCATCGGAGGTATCAAGGTCGCCAATGACCCAGCCCCCACCGTGAAAGTTCATCAGCACGCCAAAAGGACCTGCACCCGCGGGCGTGTAAATGCGGATTGGAATATCACCCAGAGAACCGTGGATAAGGCGGTCTTCGCAATTGTGGATGGGTAATTCAGGGTTCAAAGGCCGCATGGCCCGGTACATCTCCCTGCCTTGCTCAGGTGTCATTTCCCACAGACCCGGTGCGGGTGGTTGTTGTGCCATTTGTTCAAACATGGCTGCGTATTCCGGTGCGAGTGGCATTGAAATTCCCCCTCCTGCCTCAACTATAAGTGTTCCCTAATTATCAGACCCAATTAGCTCCGAATGAAGCTACACTATGAGTCTAAAAAACACTACCACTTGAACACGGAGTACGCCCATGACCACATTGGATGGCGAACAAGAGCTGGCCGATGTCGCCAAAAACTTAAATCCCCTGGAGTCCACGCTTCTCAAACATCGTACGTTGACGCTGTTTGGCGAGGTCAATCAGGAGGTATCCCGGCGTACCGCTGAAAAATTGCTGACCCTGGCCTATGAATCGGATGAACCGATTTATCTGTACATCAGCTCTCCGGGTGGGCACGTCGAGTCCGGCGATACTATTTTTGACATGATTCGCTACATCAAGCCTGTGGTTTACACTATTGGTACCGGCTGGGTGGGCAGTATTGCCACACACATTTATCTGGCACCGGAACGCGAGAATCGATTCTGTCTGCCGAATACACGCTTCCTGATTCATCAGCCCGCGGGTGGCTTTGGTGGCGATGCTTCTGATATCGAAATCCATGCGCGGGAAATTGTGAAAACCCGAGCGCGCATCAACGCTATTATTGCTGAGCAAACCGGGCAATCGCTTGATCGTGTTACTGCTGATACGGATCGTGACTACTGGATGAGTGCTGAAGAATCCCTTGAGTACGGCCTGGTGGGTAAGGTCATCAGCGGTATCGGCGAGCTGCCTTAATACAACACTTCTGTTGACGGGACAATTTGTAATGCTGTACAAATATACAGTATGCAGATTGTCCTGGCCCGCTACCTAAACAAGCGACTCATAGAGCTCCACGCTTCAACCCGCGGCGAAACCGTCGGGGTGTTGCGGCGTGATGGCAGCTATTCGTATCAACAATGGCTTGGCTTTGTGGATCGAGGTCAGGCGCGCCGAATAGGCAGGCCCGTTCGTCTGCAGGTCTGCCGGGTAGGGCATCAGGGTGACACCCACATTGAATGGCGAGACGTTGCGCAAGGACGCCACGTGCAGGGCTGTCTTACTCAGGCTGGCGTTTATGCAGTGGCGGACTGGAATGTCCGCCTGGTCTGATTATTTTTTGCTGAATCCAGCCAGGCGCTCAGCCATATCAGGACCGGCGCCGGGGCTGTTTTCACGTTCAAATGCCAGGCCGTCTGCCAGCGTATGCTGCAGGCCACCATTAACCAGCATTTTATCGGTGCGCAAGGTGAACCATGAATTGGCCAGGAACGTTTGTGCCATTTCAATTGCAGCATCCAGGAGTTCCTCATCAGGCACGCAGCGGTTGGCCAGCCCCAGATTTGCGGCTTCTTCTCCGCCGATAACACGGCCGGAAAACATCATTTCTTTTGCGGCCAGCAAGCCAATGCGCCGAGGTAGCCGCTGACTCATGCCCCAGGTCGGAGACATACCCCACTTGCCGTGGGTGTCGGCAAACTTTGCCGAGTCGCCGGCAATCATCAGGTCACATGAAATTGCCAGTTCCAGAGATCCTGTGTAGCAGTGTCCCTGTACCGCGGCTATGACCGGTTGTGGTAATTGCTCGATGGCATCTAATGTTTCCGCCTGAAAGTGCGCGCTGGGTGCGCGTTCGCCAGCCTGAATTGCTTTCAGATCGTTTCCCGCAGAAAAAGATCTGCCTTCGCCACGGAGTATCACACAACCAATGTTGTCTGTGTCTGCGGCTATGTTATCCACGTGTTCCCGAAGCTCCACAAACATATTCGGGCTCAGAGCGTTAAGGGTATCTGGTCGATTGAGACTGATAATGGCGAGGCCATCCTGGTCGCGACGAGTAACTAGTGCCATATCTGGTAATCCCCCGGTGAACAGTTTTTTGTTGGACTCAGCTGCGACGCCATGCGCCGAGTCTGATAGAAGCTGCAGTGACTATGCCATAAAGCGCCATGCCTAATGCAAGGTAGATGAAAACCCATTCCACTGCCGCGTCGAACACGAGTACAGCAAGGGCGGCGCCACCTGCACCGATGCCGAATCTGATGAAGTTTGCGACGACCGGCCACACGACAGTACCGGCACCCTGAGAGGCGAAGTATAAAGACAAACCCAGACCCTGAAATGCAAATGCCCAACCTGAATAATGCAGGTACTGTGCGCCAGCAGCAATGGTGTCCGGATCGTTGGAAAAGATGTTGACCCAGACTTCCGGAAAAACTGCGAGGGTCACGCCGATAATGCCTGTGAGCGCGGCGGCGGCACTACCGCCAACAAAAGCAATATGCTCTGCCCGGCGCACATTGCCTGCCCCGACATTCATGCCCACCATGGTGTTCATGGCAGCGCCGAATCCAAACACCATCGGGATCAGCAGGAACTCAAGTCTTGAACCGATGCCGTAGCCGGCAACCACGGCGTCGCCGAAACGGCTGATCACGCCATTAACAATCATGATGGACATCACCGTAAGCACCGGCGATAGTGACGCCAGCGCGCCGACTTTGAAAATGTCGCCAAACAGTTCGGGTTTCAGAATGGCAGCAGAGCGGGTGAGTTGGATACTCAGCGTTGTACTGCTTAGTTTGTTTACGGCAATGCAGGTGTTGAGCGTGGCGACAGTGACCACTGAAAGCGCGGCACCAAGAATGCCCAGTTTTGGCGCGCCAAACCATCCAAGTACCAGGGTGCCGGACAATATCACCTGAACGATGCCGCCGCCGGCCATCAGCAGTGCGGGAAAACGCATTTCGCCAAGGCCGCGGAATACACCGGATAACAGCGACATGAGCCAGATGCTGATGCAGCCGCCAAACATGACGTATCCGTAAGCCAGAGCCTCATCCAGCACCGCATCCTGTGCGCCGATGGCCATTAATAAAGACTCCCCCAAAAGTGCAAAACTTGCTGCGAAGAACAAGCCAGCGCACACGGCTATGAACAGTGCGTGCCAGATCAGTTCCTGAGCGCGGTGGATTTGCTTTGAGCCCATGGCTCTGGCAATAGAACTGGCGACTGCGCCACCCACTGCGCCACCGGAGAGCATCTGCATCAGCATCAAACCGGGGAACACAAACGCCATGGCAGCCAGCGACGTGGTCCCCAACTGGCCCACGTACCAGACTTCAGTCATGCTGACGCTGGCCTGGACCAGAAAAGCGATGGCGTTGGGTGTGGCCATCTTCAACAGAATCGGCAGTGCGCGGCCGTTGAGAATGTTGTCTGTGCGCAGGTCTGCTGCGGTCTGATTCAATGTCCTGGGCCTATAAACCCAGTACCAGTTTGGCAACGATATTGCGCTGCACTTCATTGCTGCCGCCGGCAATGGAAGAGGCGCGATAGTTGAAATAACGGGGAAACGCAGCGACTCCTGATGCAGGACCAACAGCGGGTGTGTTTTGACCGACTTCTCGCGCTTCAGGCTGGTGAGGACTGGCGTAGAATCCCAGTGCTTCCACCATCAGTTCGGATAGATACTGGCTCATATCGGCGCCCAGGGTTTTCATGATGGAAGACTCCGGACCTGGGCTGCCGCCTTTTGATATCTGCGCCATGATGCGGAATTCGGTGAATTGCAGGGCTTCGATTTTGACCCCGGTTTCATTGAGTTTGTTTTTGAAATCATCGTCATCAGCAAGCTTCTGACCGGCAACGTTGGTTTGTTCAGCGAGATGCCGCAGGCGTTGTAAACCCACGCTGAATCGCGCTGCGCCACCGCCACCGCGCTCAAATTCGAGCAGATATTTGGCAACTGTCCATCCCTGATTCTCTTCCCCAACAATATTTGCCTTAGGCACGCGGACATTGTCGAAGAACACCTGGTTGACCTCGTGGGTGTCGGACGCAAACAAAATAGGCTCAACGCTGATACCGGGCAGGTCCATATCCAGCAGTAGAAAAGTGATGCCCTGTTGTGGCTTGCCTGTATCGTCTGTACGCACGAGGATAAACATGCGGTTGGCGTAGTGGGCATGGGTGGTCCATATTTTTGAGCCGTTGAGTACCAGGTGATCACCGTCGCTGCTGGCTTTCAGCTGCAGAGAGGCCAGATCTGAGCCGGAAGCAGGTTCAGAGTAACCCTGACACCAGTAATCTTCGCCAGAGAGAATGCGCGGCAGGTAATAATCTTTTTGCGCTTGAGTGCCGTGTCCGATAAGCATTGGCCCACACATACCCAGCCCCATCGGCGCAGTGCTGGGTGTGCCAGCCAGGCTTGTTTCAGTGGTCCAGATATACTGTTGCATGAGGTCCCAGCCGGTACCGCCATATTCTTTTGGCCATGCCGGTGCCACCCAGCCCTGCTTGTACAGGATTTTGTGCCAGGTCATATTGTGCTCGTAGTCCAGAAATATACCCGGACAGAAAGCCGCCGCCTGTTTCAGTTCGTCCGTGAGGGCGTGGCTTAAAAATTGTTTAACTTCATCGCGGAAGGCTTCGTGCTGTGCACTGAACGAGATATCCATATGTCCCCTCAATCTGGATTTGGCTGTGTTTTCATGCCATGCGCAAGAGATTCTAACTCGAACACGTGTGGGTCGTCGGCACCCAGTTGCCTCAGTGCCTCGGCAAGTTCCTGCAGATACTCAAGGTTGTGACCGCTGGGGCCGCGACTGCGGATAATCTGGCGGGCAATTTCATGCAATGGCGCTTCACCAAGGTAAGCAAAGTTACCTTCGGTGGCAATGTATACCAGGCCTTCAACCCGGTTGCCGTCGTTCAGGTGCAGCTGGCTGTTGATGCGGCTGTAACCGTTCTTTTCCCGATGGTCGAGTTGCTCAAAGGTGGCGGTGACCGTTTGCTGAGGTAGCAGATAGGCCATGCCCAGACAGCGCGCGTTTGCTTCCGGAATCAGGGTAACCACGCGTCCGGGTTGTTCCGGTACACCGCGATGATCGTGTGAACCCTGCCAGAACCGTCGTGTGTAGCCAGGCAGTATTGCCGGTTGTGCGTGCAGGTACTCGAAGCCAGGCCGCCAGATCAGCGAGCCATAGCCGAATACCCAGGCTGCATCCGAGGTATCCGAGGAATTAGACGCCACGTGTTCTCGCGGACTTAAACATGGTTGGATCTGGGTTCTGTTGAGTGCTCGCGAAGTTTAACGCGAACTCCGTTGCACGCGTAGCGAGTTATCTGCCCATACAGTTGCATGCTTGCACGCCAGAGTGGTTGCGTTTGTGCACACAAAGACTGACAGATTGTTAACCGGCCGGTTCCAGTTGGGCTGCCCTGGCATCTGCTTCCAGCACGCGTGCGCCACGCATGATATTCCCCAAGGCATAGTTACCTTCATGACACGCAACTTCGTAAACCTTGCCATCAGCTGCTGCCCACGGGTACTCACCACCCCAGGGTTGTGTCCAGATTTCCGGATTGTTGACTTCGAACCGGTACAACAGGCCGCCATCATCTGTGCGGCTGAGGTACTCTGTGACCCGAAGGTTTTCATCCGCACCGGATAACGCTGGTGTCTGTTTGAAATTTTTTGTCTCGATGACCAGGGTTTCACCTTCCCAATGGCCGATACTGTCACCTAACCAGGTTCTTATATTATCGGGACGGTGGGTTGCGTTCATGCGGATGACGCGAGCATCGTGATTCATTTCGGTGAGGATCATGATGTGATCCGGTGTCTGGATGATGCGTTTATGGTTGTTGTAGATGTTGGGCAGCATCGGTGGGCCGGCAGTGGAGCGCGAGCCGATGATGCAACGTTCAGCCAGGGGTCTTTGTTCCAGGTTGTCATAGGGTCCACTTTCTTCTTCAAGCCACCAGGCTTCGCCAGAGTTTTTGCTGGCCGTCGGGTCGGGGCTGCGCCAGATGATCTGCCAGTTGTCTAAAAACCCTTTTAAGCGAGCGGCGCCGTAAGGGGTCATGGCAGGTATTCGACCATTAGCTGGCGTGGTAATGATTGATGTTCTGAATTTCCCATCAACGCTGGCTGCGCCAGTACCCACATCCAGCCAGAAGAAATTGTAACCGCCAACGTTGCCACCTTTTTCGGGTGCGTCGCGATTGGGGTCGCTGTCAGCTGCGTCCTGGGCAACTCTAGCTTGGATCCGCTGGGCGTAAACCGCAGCCTCTTCTTCGGTCAGAAACAGATTGTTGCCATACGCCTCCGGGCGTTGCAGCGGTGTCAAAGTACCGACATCGTAAGTGCCTGACAGGTTGCCTGCCGCCTGGCATTCAACACTGATCATCAGGTTGGCAGTAAAGATGAGGAGCGAGATTAAGAGTGATTTTTGCATAGTCTAATAGTCGCAGTCTGAACCATGGTGTAGTGGCAGCATTGCACAATTCATTCCAGCCTGTCAGGCGCGAAGTGGGCGCTTATCGCACTTTATTGGCGCCTGAGCGCCTTAGGCGCACCTTTATCTTGCGTGACAGAGCCTGCGTGCACAATTTGTGCGCCAGCGATATCGATGTCTATGCCGTTAACTGCCCTGAAGAGCCGATTGTTTCGCGGCCATCCGCTATGGCACGTTCTTTGAATCAGCTTTCATCACTATGAGCGGATTCGGTGAATTCGCAGACAGGTTCTTCAACAAACGAAAGCTGGAAACGAGGCGTGGAAACACAACTGATTGTGCTCATCGGGCTGCTTGCTCTGGCTGGCGCCTTTGCGGGTGTCACTGCCGGCTTGTTTGGCAATGGCGGCGGATTTGTCGTCGTGCCTTCCCTGATTGCGGTTTTTTCCATTCTTGGCGAGACCACAAGCGATCTTATCTATGTCGCTATCGGTACGTCGCTGGCTTCCATAGTGGTCTCCTCTGCACGTTCAGTGCAGGCGCATCACAAGCATAAAGCGGTTGATTATGAGACGTTGAAATCATGGGCGCCCTGGCTGGTTATGGGTGTGGCCATCGGTTTGTACATCGCTTCTATCACCGATGGTGAAAGTCTGTTTCTGGTCTTTGCTGTGGGTGTTCTGCTGTACTCCATCTATTTTCTGTTTCCAGATATGTTTGTGAATTCGACGAGATCGCTGTCGATGCCAAAAGGCGTTGGAAAAGCCAGCCTTGCGTCATTTTTAGGTGGCTTCTCAGCGTTGCTGGGTATCGGCGGCGGCACCATTACCGTTATGACTATGGTGATGTGTAATCGATCAGTACACCAGGCGGTCGCCACCGCAGCTGGGGTGGGCTTCATTATCGCCCTGCCTGGCTCTATTGGTTTTGCGTTGCTGGGTCTGGGTCACACCTCTTTGCCCACAGGCTCCGTCGGTTTCATCAATTTCCCGGCCCTGTTAGCCATCTGCTCAGCCTCTGTTCTGACCGCACCTATTGGTGCCCGTTGGGCACACAGCCTTGATGAACAACACCTCAAACGCCTGTTTGGGGTTTACCTCGTCATGGTTTCCGCGTCGATGTTCTATAAATCGATGCAAGTATAAATACACATAAGGATTTTGATGATGTCTAAAGGTTCAGCAATTAACAGAAGAATGTTCCTGGCCGGGTCATCCGTTGCAGTAGGTTCAAGCATGGTACTGCCCAGTCTTGCTGCCGCCGCGCCGGGTGCCATGACAACCGCACCGGCTTATGGACCCTTGGCTGGGGTGGCCAAACTAAATGCCAACGAAAATCCCTATGGCCCAAGCCCTGCAGCGATCAAGGCCATGGACGCAGCGATGCGAAAAGGTGCTTATTACGTCAATGATTCGGTGACTCGTCTGAAAGCAATGATCGCTGAACGCCATGGACTGACGCCTGAGCATATTCTGTTAAGTTCCGGCTCCAGTGGTGGCCTCACTTATCTTGCTCAGGCGGTGTCTGGCTCGGGCAAAATATTGGGCCCGGACCTGTTCTGGGATACGACGACGCGGATGGGTACACGTCAGCAGGGTGAAATCAAACGTTTGCCGAAGACATCCGATCTTGCCATCAACCTTGCTGCTATGGAAGACGCCATATCTGACGACGTCGCCATGGTGCAGGTGACTAATCCAAATAATCCAACAGGCATGGTGCTTGCCGCTGACGAACTCATGGCCTTCACGAAGCGTGCGTCAAAGAAAACGCTGGTGTTGCTCGATGAAGCCTACAATGAGTTGACTGATGATCCTGAAGCCAACTCCATGGTGCCGCTGGTTAAACAGGGTTACAACGTTGTTGTTGCACGAACATTTTCCAAAATCTATGGGCTGGCAGGCATGCGGGTGGGCTATCTGATGGCGGCACCGGAAACCATTGAAATGATCAGTCAATATGCGCTGGGCGACTATTCATTGAATCAGGCGGGTGTTGCAGCAGCGGTTGCCAGTTATAACGATGAACCTTTTCTGGCGTACGCCAAAGCCAGGGTTGTGGAAGCGCGGGGCATTGTCACGGCGGGCCTGGCTGCAAACGGGCTCAGCGCGTTACCCTCAAGTACAAACTTCATGTTTGTTGATCTGGGTAAACGCAGCGCAGAAGACTTTCGTGCTGCGATGGCGCAAAGAAATGTCTTAATCCGTGGTATTTATCGGGATTACACGCAGTGGTCCAGAGTAAGTATGGGCGAGATCAAAGACGTTGAGCAGTATGTCGCGGCACTGCCAGCAGTTCTGGATGCGATTCCTGAAGTCGCTGTGTAAAGCGCGTGCGCATTTCTGTTTGTCGGAGCTTACGATAAACCTTGTGACACATCGTAGGCTTTACGGGTTTGCTCCTGCAGCTCTGGAGACAAGATGAAATCTGCGGCGGTCAGAGCTAATGCTTTGGCGCCATCCAGACAGGCATGGTCGCCTTTATCCGAGCCCGCCCATTTTTCAAACTCCGGGTTATGGATCACCACGCTGGGTGGTGCGACTGCCAGCATTGGGTGTATCGAAGGCACACGGTAACTCACATTACCCATATCGGTGCTGCCCGCACCAAACTTTCTGGCATCCTCAAAAGGTACAAATTCACGTCCCAGGCTCTGGGCATGCTCACGAAATTGTTCCGCCAGCGGCCAGTTTGTGTTCAGATCGAGATAATCGACGTTTGCCCAGTTTACCTCAACTTCGCAGCCGCTGCCTTTGGCGCCTGCTTCAAAACAGGCTTGTACACGTGGTTTCAGTTTAGCCAGGTCTTTTTCGTTAGCTGCTCGAACATAAAACTCGCCTGCACAATGGTCAGGAACAATGTTGGGTGCATCGCCACCCTGGGTAATGATGCCATGAATGCGCTCGCTGGCGCGGATGTGTTGTCGGAGATTGGAAATAGCCTGATATGCTAACAACAAGCCATCTAACGCATTAATACCCTTGTGGGGCATGGCTGATGCGTGTGCTGATTTACCATGATAGATGACTTCAACTTCAGCCACGCAGATGCATGGCATCGATGCCAGGTTGACACCTGCGGGGTGAATCATCATGGCAGCATCTACGCCATCAAAGGCGCCGGCGCGTGCCATAAGTTCTTTACCGCCGCCGCGTTCCTCTGCGGGTGTACCAATCAAACGGATTTTACCAGGTAGCTGCTCTGCTACGGCCTGTAGGCCGAGGGTTGCCCCCAACGCGGTTGTTGCGATGATGTTGTGACCGCACGCATGTCCAATGCCCGGCAAAGCATCATATTCGGCGAGAATGGCAACGGTTGGGCCCACTTTGCTTGCATTCAGTTTTGCTTCGAAAGCGGTAGGCAGTGTGAACACATTTGTTTCTGGTTCGAAGCCATGTTTTGCCAGAGAGTTGGTCAGCGTTTCGCAGGCGAAGTGTTCCTGAAAAGCCAGTTCAGGGTGAGCGTGGATAGCATGGGATACCTCAAGGAGTTCGTTAGCAAGTTCGTCGATGCGGCTGATGATGCTTTGGTAAATCGGATCAGACATGGCTATCTCCTTGAGACAATACAAATTGTGGGTGAGTGCGCGCTGGCGTGTCAGTCACTCGCTGGCCTGGCTATTAACTGACCCACGCGGGCCTGGTGCAGCGCGCCCCAGACCATGACCAGAATCATGGCCAGCAAACCGTTGCGAATACTGTCAACGCCGTCGCTGGCAGCAGTGGCGTCACTGATGATGCCAACAGAAAGAGGCCCTAAGCCCAGGCCGATGATGTTCAATACAAACAGATTTATGGCAGCACCAACGGCACGCATCTCTACCGGCAGCTGAGATTGCAGCATGGCAAAGTTGGTGCCCAGGTAAACCCCACCGAGGGTGGCTGGTCCAAAAAACCAGGCCGCCGCCCAGAACGGATCCGTTGCGGTAAAACTCAGGTAGGCGGTGGGTATGTAAACGATCACTGCGACAAGCACAACCCAGGCTCGCCAGCCTTCACTGAATTTAGCCAGACGGTCGGCAAGATAGCCGCCGAGAAAAGTGCCTATACCGCCGCCAACCCCGATAGCCAGAGCCAGAACGGTGCCGGATTCGCCGGTAGTAAACGCATGTACTCGTTGCAGATAAACAGGTACCCAGGCGATCGCGGCGTAGCCTGCGAAGCTGAGTAACATGCTGGCCATGAGCAGATTGCGGATCGTGACATGGCCAATCATGAGTTTCACAACATCCCAGAACGGTGGGGCGACAGGCCTCTCCAATAAACCGTCTGAGTAACCTCGTGGGGGTTCCACCATGGTGTAGCGGACCACGACAGCGATTAAAAGACCCGGTGCACCCGCGGCCACAAAGGCCCAGCGCCAGTCGAGGAATTCGTTGACCCAGCCGCCGATCAGATAACCGAACATGACGCCGAAGTTCACGCCCAGCGCAAAAATCGCCATGGCAGTACCGCGCTGTGAAGCCGGGTACAGGTCTGAGATGATTGAGTGTGAAGGCGGGTTGGAACCCGCCTCACCAACGCCGACCCCGATGCGCGCGATCAGCAGTTGCCAGAATTGCACCGCAGCACCGCACAAAGCCGTCATCAGACTCCAGGTGGCAATGGAGAAAGTAATCAGGTTGCGGCGATTGCGACGGTCGGCCCACATGGCCATAGGCATGCCGAGGGTGGCGTAGAACACGGCAAACATGACACCTGTTAACAGCCCCAACTGGGTGTCGCTGATCTGGAACGCCTGCTTTATGGGCTCCTGCAGAATGGCCACAATCTGTCTGTCGATATGGCTTGAGGTGAACACCACCACCAGCAGAAACAGGGTGTAACTTCTCTGTCGCTTGGTTATTGTTATTTCGGACATAGCACCTAAGTATGACCGGGCGCTAGGGGACATCAAGATAAAGTTATACGGGGGAATAACGATGGCTTATGACTATGAATTGTTACGGGTAGACGTTGATGGGCGCCTGGCGGTGGTCACGATCAACAATCCACCTATTAATCTACTGACGCTGCCGTTGTATGCTGAGTTGAATACGCTGACGGCAGAGCTGAAAGCAGACCCGGATCTGACGGTGGTGGTGTTTAAAAGCGCAGATCCGGATTTCTTTATTGCGCACTTCGACGTCGAAGCCATTCTGCAGTTTCCAATAGACAAACCGGCGGAAAGAGATCCCGAGTTGAACCTCTATCACATCATGTGCGAGCGGGTACGCACCATGGATAAAGTCACCATTGCTCAGATTGAAGGTCGCGTTGGTGGTGGCGGAAGTGAATTTGCCGCCAGCATGGACATGCGTTTTGGCGTTGAAGGCAAAACCAGGATCAATCAGATGGAGGTGCCGCTGGGTATCCTGCCTGGCGGCACCGGCACGCAGCGGCTGCCGCGCCTGATCGGTCGCGCTCGGGCAATGGAAGTTATTCTGGGTGCGGATGACCTCGATGCAGCCACAGCTGAGCGCTGGGGTTATCTGAATCGGATCTTTCCGGCAGATGAGATTGAGGCCTGGGTTGATCAATTTGCGCGTCGCATTGCAAGCTTTCCGGTTGAGTCTGTGCGGCTCGCAAAAGCATCAATTACCGCCTCGGATCAACCGCTGGCTGAAGGCCTGCTTGAAGAAGCTTATCTGTTCCAGCGCTTGTTACGAAACGAGAGCGCGCAGGCGAATATGCAACGCTATCTGGAAATAGGGGGGCAGACCCGGGACGGCGAATTGCGCGTCAACGAGCTAAATGCCGAGTTGGGCAATGACACTTAACAGACGTGTTGGTCGGATTCGACGGAGATAGATATGATCACGCCCCGTACCACCGGTCACCTATATATTGATTTGATTAATACCTATTATGCGGGCTGCAACACCTACGATGTTGACTTGATGATGTCGACCTTTACAGATGACGTGGTGCACTATTTTGTTGACCACAGCGCCGTTCGTGGGGCTCGTGAGTTAGCTAACTACTGGTCTAAGGTGGCGCCTAAAACCCAGGCTAACTGGGTGTTGGATCATGCTCTGGTGCAGGAGCCAGAGGCGGTGATTGAATGGAGTATGTCCTGGGTGCCTGCACAAACCGGCGAGGTGCAGCTGCTGCGCGGAAGCGAATGGTATGTGTTCGAAGCAGATAAAATTGCGGAAATCCGCTCGTATCATAACAACTACTATCTGCACAGCCCGGCCAATGCCGAGCTGCATGACTTTGACTACGCTGGTCGCGGTTACCGACTGAACAGCTGAGGTGGGTGCTCAGGCCTTCGCATCTGCCGAGGCAAAATTCAGTCGAGCAACTTCCGCCATTGTTGTAATGGCTTCGGTGTTGCCGCTGATGGTCAGGCCGGTGATACCGCTGTTCTCCCAGGCTTTAAAACGTTGGGCGATGCGATCTTTAGGTCCGATCAACGCGCCGCTGTCGACAAATTCATCGGGTACCGCAGCGATGGCTTCGTCTTTGCGTTTGGCCAGGTAAAGTTCCTGTATGCGCTCTGCCGCATCACCAAACCCGCGACGTACCATCATTTCCTTGTGGAAGTTGATGTTTTTATGGCCCATGCCGCCAACGTAGAGGGCAATGCCCGGTTTCATCGAGTCCAGCGCACCTTGCACATCCTCTGTGACCCGCACCTGGGCCATGGCCTGGCGTTCAAACTGATCTGCATCTTTGCCCGCTTTTTCCAGGCCCTGATTGATCCAGTCGTCATACAGGTGGGCGGTTTCCGGAACAAAACCCAGTGGCAGCCAGCCATCGGCAACCTCAGCAGTCATGCGCACGGTTGCTTCCATACCGGTACCGAGGAACACCGGGATATTCGGGTTCATATGCAGAATGGATTTCAGAGGTTTGCCAATGCCCAAGGCGCCTTCGCCTTTATAAGGCAATGAAATTTCTTTGCCATCGTGGGTGACCGGTTCTTCTCGCGCCCAGATTTTTTTCATGATGGCGACATAGTCTTTTAACCGGTAGTAAGGTTTTCCCCAGGGCTGGCCATACCAGCCCTCTACAATTTGTGGCCCGGAGACGCCTAAACCGCAGATCACACGGTTGCCCCCGGCCAGCTTGTCGAGGGTTGCCATGGCCATGGCTGTATTTGCAGGTGTGCGTCCAGCCAGTTGCAACACGGCTGTACCGAGGCGGATACGGTCGGTATGTGCCGCAAGAAAGGCCAGTGGCGTAATGGCGTCAGATCCGTAAGCCTCAGCGGTCCAGACGCTGTCGTAGCCTAAGCGTTCAGCCAGTTTAACGTCGTCCAGTGGAATGCGCAGTTCTGCGCCTGAGTAACCCAGCATCAGTCCTAATTTCATATATCTCCCCAGTCAGAAAGCGTTGCCTGACAATCTGGTCAGGCGTTTTTACGGATCAGTGCGATTGCCGCAAACCAGTAAACGGCGATCGGAATGAGAATAGCGATAAGTGCAGGGATGTTGAAGACGATGGCTGCAGGCGCAAACAGATCCTGCAGGTACTTGAACCCAAGCCCGGCAAATATGCCAAAGGTCAGGCGTAATCCCATGCCCACCTCGCGTAGTGGGCCGATGACCACCGCCAGCGCAAACAGTGTAAGGCCGAGAAAGGTCAGCGGCTTCAACACCCGGTTCCAGAATGCCAGTTCGTACTCGGAGACACCCAGGCTCTGCGTGCGGGCAAAGGCGATCTGCCGGTATAAAGCGGCCATAGACATCTTGTTCGGTTCGAGAAAGGCCTGGCTCGCCAACAGCTCTGGCGTGATAGGATTATTCCACTGCCATTCATCCAGAGATTCCTGGGTGGCTGCGCCGTTAATCAGCTCGGTTTTGACGACATCCTGGAGTAACCACATCTGTTCGGGTTCAGAGTAGCGTCCGGAAGCCGCAGATATGGTTGTTTGCAGTTGCTTGTCTTCATTGAGCCAGAGTTGCTCAACGCCCCAGATCTGACCTTCTTCGTCAATGGCGTTCAATCGCATGTACAGCTGCTGGTCCCGTAACCATAAGCCGCCCATTAAACCTAATGCGTCGTCGCCATATTGTGCCTGCAGCTTGCCGACTTCAGCGGTCCGTTCACTGGCAGGTGCAATGAATTCAGCAACGATGACACTTAACGACAGCCATAGAATCATAGACGGGGCGAGCGCCAGACAGAGGCGTTGCGCAGACATACCCGACACGCGACATATAGTGAGTTCGTTTGTTTCAGCGAGACTGCCCAGCGCAATCAGGTAACCTAAAAACAGGCCGTAGACGAGGATTTCATCGAAGCGTCGAGGCAGCGTCTGCAAGACATAGAGGCCCGCTTCCCACAATCCGTAGGTCGTCTGACTTTCATCCATCTCTTCGAACAGTGCAAACAGGGTAATCAGACTCAGCAGCACCGCGATAACCACAAATATTGCGCGATTGGCGTGGCCGGTAATGTATCTGTCCAGTGTCCCCATGGCGTGTATTCAGGTCTTCGGTTGTTGGTTTGTTTGCGGGTCGGCGTCTGCCTGGGCTTTGTTATCTTCAGCCTGTGCTCGAGCTTCCTCAGCAAAATACCGCATCGCCCGATCTGTGCTGAAAAAGATCTGTCCGGTGATAATCTTGTCCAGGCCTGCTGCATTCAAGTGTGGCAACAGTGTGCCTTTCAAATCACTCAAGCTCAAAGTAATGCCCGCCTGTTTGAGGTTATTGTTCAGCCGAATCAACATCTGCAGGCCGGTGGCGTCGATCATATTCACGGAGCCACAGACTATCAGAACGTGTTTGGTGCCTTTGCGTCGTTGGGCGCGCTTCAGGAATTTGTCTTCAATCTGCACTGCATTGGCAAAGTAAATATTTTCGTCCACGCGCAGGGCCAGGACGCCGGGCAGCGTTTCGACATCATAGCGTTTGATAGAACGGAAATGTTCGGTGTCGGCCAGTCGTCCTACCTGGGTGATGTTGGGTCGACTTGAGGTGCGGATGAAAAACGCAATAGACAACAGTACCCCAGCAGCCAGTCCAACTTCTACGCCAAGAAACAGCACCATCAGCATGGTCGCAATTTCTGTCAGGGTGTCGTGGCGGTGAATAGCCCAATGATGCCGTGAGCTTTTCAGATCCATCAGACCCACCACAGATACCATCACGATGGCAGCCAGGACCGCATGCGGCAGGGCGCTGAATAACTGGGTGAAAAACAACAGCACAATTACAATCACCGCCGCGCAAACCAGGCTGCTGACCGGGGTGCGGCCACCGCTGAGATAGTTCACGCTGGAGCGTGAAAAACTGCCTGCCACTGGATAAGCACCGGTGAAGGCTGCGCCGATGTTGGCTGCGCCTATGGCAATCAGCTCCTGATGGGAATTCACCCGCGTCTGTTTGCGGGCGGCGAGGGTGGCTCCGATGGAATAACTTTCCACATAGGACACCAGCGCGATAACCACTGAAGAGGGTAACAGGGCGAGCCACAGATCAAAGTCGAGAGGTGGTGGTGACACTTCCGGTAATCCTGCAGGCACAACTCCAACGGTTGCCAGCTGCTGGTCGGCCCCGCTGAGGGTTGCCCAGACCACAGCAAGTGTAGCAACGATCATCGGACCCACCTTGGTAGCGGGATGAGTATCGTCAATAGCCATGCCCACAAGTCGACTCAGAGGCGGCAGGATGCGCGGCCAGGTAAGCAGCAGTGTGAGCGCCACAGCACCGGTAACCAGGGTCAGCCGATCAATCTGTGGTAACGCAGTGACCAGTGCCGTGATCACCGACAGCGGCTGAGATGATTCACTTTCAATGCCGGTAAAAGCGGGAATCTGACTGACAATAATGAGAATCGCGGCGGCGTTTACAAAGCCGGTGATCACCGGGTGGCTCAAGAGGTTAACCAGGCCGCCCATGCGCGATAATCGTAAGATCCACAGAAAAAGACCCGCCTGCAAACAGATGATAGTGGTGATCTGCAGGTATTCGTCGCTGAACTTTGGCGCGTATTCACTCACGGTCGCAGCCACTAACAGAGCGGCTACCGCAACCGGACCCACCACCATCTGTCGGCTGCTGCCGAAGAGTGCGTACAACACCATGGGTACCAGACAAGCATACAAACCGGCTTCTGGCGGCACCCCGGCGAGAAAAGCATAGGCCACGGCCTGGGGGATGGTCACCATGCCGACAATCAGGCCGGCGACCAGATCGTGACTGAAGTCGTCTTTTTTGTATTTCTGCAGAATGGGGATAAGGGGCAGGTAGCCTGGCCATTCCCGTAAACCCATCTTGAACCACAGGGCGGGTCGCATGTTTAAGTTCGGTGGGTAGTAGGCATAGATGCAAATTGTAGCAGTAGTCTTGCTTGAATAGTGTGTGGTGCTTGCCAACACCCGGGGCTAAAGCTGAACATGGGGGCTTTATTGTTGGCATCTGCGTTGCCAACATCTGTTTAGCCTATGAGGGAGTGAGAATTATGGAAAGCAAAGCCGCGGTTGCTTTTGCTGCGGGTCAACCGCTGAGTGTGGAAACGGTAACGCTGGACGGGCCAGGTCCGGGTGAGGTGCTGGTGGAAATAAAGGCCACCGGCATCTGCCACACAGATGCGTACACCCTGTCCGGTGCAGATTCGGAAGGTATCTTTCCATCGATACTGGGGCATGAAGGTGCGGGAATTGTGCAGGAAGTGGGCGCCGGCGTGACGTCTGTTGCACCAGGTGACCACGTTATTCCCCTGTACACACCGGAATGTCGACAATGTAAGTTCTGTCTGTCCGGCAAAACCAACCTCTGTGGCGCTATTCGCGAGACCCAGGGTAAAGGCGTTATGCCGGACGGTACGTCGAGGTTCTCTCTGGGTGGGGATCCGCTTTATCACTATATGGGTACATCCACCTTTTCAAACTTCACAGTCTTGCCTGAAATTGCGTTGGCAAAAATTCGTCCGGATGCGCCTTTTGACAAGGTCTGTTACATCGGTTGTGGGGTGACCACAGGATTGGGTGCGGTCATCAATACCGCACAAGTTGAGCCAGGCGCCAATGTGGCCGTGTTTGGTCTGGGTGGTATTGGCTTAAATGTTATCCAGGGCGCGCGTATGGTGGGTGCGGACCGAATAATCGGTATCGACTTGAACGACGATAAACGAGTCCTTGCTGAACAATTTGGCATGACCGACTTCATCAACCCCGGGGAGGTAGATGATGTGGTTGCAGCAATTGTCGACCTCACTGATGGCGGTGTTGATTATTCGTTTGAATGTATCGGTAACACCGATGTCATGCGCCAGGCATTGGAGTGCTGCCACAAAGGTTGGGGCGAGAGTGTGATTGTTGGTGTGGCCGCTGCGGGTAAAGAGATTTCAACGCGCCCGTTTCAGCTGGTGACCGGTCGGGTATGGAAAGGCACGGCTTTTGGTGGTGCAAGAGGCAGGACTGACGTACCTAAGATTGTCGACTGGTATATGCAGGGCAAGATCAACATAGATGACCTGATCACGCATACCTTTTCGCTGGAAGATATCAATAAGGGTTTCGATTTGATGCACAAAGGCGAAAGCATACGTTCGGTGGTAGTGTATTAAAGGACTGGATGATGGATAGAGAACAATGGCTGGCCCAGGTGCAAGAAGACATTATCGAGCCGGATCTGCCGATCTGTGATCCTCACCATCATCTCTGGGATGATGCTAACAACCCTTATCTTCTGCCTGAACTTTTGGCGGATACGGGTGCGGGCCATAATGTGGTCAGCACGGTATTTGTAGAGTGTGCAGCCATGTACCGAGCAGATGGGCCGGAGAAGATGCGGCCAGTGGGTGAAACAGAGTTTGTCAATGGTGTGGCGGCTATGTCGGCCAGTGGTCGCTATGGGAACATGCGGGCGTGCGCCGGTATTGTCAGCTATGCAGACCTGACGCTGGGCGCCCAGGTTGGATCTGTCCTGGATGCCCATATGGCCGCTTCGCAACGTTTCCGGGGTATCCGGCATGCGGCAGGTTGGGATGCAGATAAACGAGTGCGTAATTCTCATACAAACCCGTGTGAAAGCTTGTTTCTACAGGACAGCTTCCGTGCCGGCTTTGCGGAACTGGCAAAGCGGGGTTTGAGCTTCGATGCATGGCTTTACCACCCTCAGATACCTGAGCTCACAGATCTCGCTCGAGCATTTCCGGACACCACGATTATCCTAGACCACTTTGGGGGTCCGTTAGGCATAGGTCCTTATGCAGGCCACGCAGATGAGATATATGCGCAGTGGCAAATGGACGTGCGCAGTCTTACCGAGTGTAAGAATGTGTATGCAAAACTGGGTGGTATTGTGATGCCTGTTAACGGCTTCGGCTGGCACAAACGCGATTTGCCGGCTACCTCAGATGAAATTGTGATGGCAACCGGTCGTTATCATCGTTCAGCCATTGAGCTGTTTGGCCCCGAGCGCTGTATGTTCGAGAGTAACTTTCCGGTAGATAAGCAGAGTTGCTCGTACGCGGTTTTATGGAACGCATTCAAGAAGATTGCCGCTGGCTTCAGCGCCGAAGACAAGAGCCGCCTGTTTCATGATACGGCGGTTGAAGCTTACCGGTTATAGTCGCTAGTCGTAGAAGGCAGGCGCCAGGTTCAGACTGTCTGCCAAAGCCTGGCTGTGTTCCAACCACAGGGTGGCACCTTCCTTCTGCAGGCGCTGCTCTATTTTCTGCATTGCCTCTAAGGTCTGCTCTCTGTCCGTATTAAATGCCGGTACGCGCTGATGCCGGCGGCTGAATTCAAAATGATAAAGATCGCCTGACAGGAGTATCGGTCCGGTATTCTCGAGTTTTACAAGCAGCACCTGATGTCCGGGCGTGTGGCCAGGCGCTGAGATAAGGATGACAGAGCCATCACCAAATACATCGTGGTCCGCATCGGTGAGTTCAATGCGATCTGCGTCAGCAAGTTTGCTGTAGAGGCTCGGATCAAATATTTCGTATTGATCCGCCTCCAGAAACGCGGCGGTGTATTCTCGTTTGTTGATCAGAAGCGTGCTGTCTGCAAAAGCATCTGCTGCTCCGATGTGATCGAAATGAAAGTGTGAAAATGCCACCAGATCAATGTCGGTAGGTTGCAGATCGATGTCTGCGAGTTGATCAAGCACAGAGCGCGGGTACGAGACCTTCATGCCGGGTTCCAGTTCCAGATCTTCACTTCCGACAAGGTTCAGTGGTAAACCGCCATCCCAGAACAGGCGCTGACCATCATTTTCGATCAGATAACAGGGTACAAACAAATCGCGCACATCAGTTTCTTCGTTTGTCAGGCCGAAGCTGGCCACGTCAACAATGTTTATGCTGCCGCAGTTGAAGACGTAGATTCTGGGTGCCGCAGACGCTGACATACTGAGCGCGCTGGCAAAAACCAGGGCAATGAGGGTGATAGATAAGCGCAAAACAGTTCTCCTTAGTCGAACAAGGTGTACAACACCAGTTGCATGGCAATTAATACAGAGGCCCACAATCGCATATCCCGCCAGCGAGATTGATCCGGGGCCTCAGTGAAAATTATTTTGTGAGGAATAAGCCAGACCAGGACGCCGAGCACCAGAAAGCCGAATATCGACAGATAGTTGGCCCAGGCTACGGGCAGAGTAGACAGATCCATCAGGTGCGCCTCCAGGGTGAATAGGTCAGTTTACTCAGATCGGATTCAGGATGGGCAGGTGTAAAGAAACTTAATATCCACAGTGCAACCAGGCTGTAGACGAAGCTGTAGAAGGCAACGTACAGCATGTTCATGCCGGTCCATAACATGAGTGACGAGACAATCACGCCGCTGATGAGTGTCCACAACCCGGCCTGGGGTGTGGCGCGTGTGGTGAATGCACCAAGCAGCAGTAGTGCCAGCATAGGACCTTGAAACAGTGAAAGGATGGTTTGGATAAACGTGAAGATGCCACCCATGTCCGCAATCAGTGGCGCAGTGCACATGGCAAGCAGCAGCAGTATGAGGGTCAGGTAACGGCCGATTTTAAGGTCGTTTTCAGGATTCGCATTCTTCAGCACCACGTGGCGGATGTCCCGGGTGATCATCAGCGATGTGGAGTTCACGCCGGAATCGATGGTGGACTGCAGCGCCGCGATGATTGCAATGAACATAAGCCCGGAAATGCCCGGTGGCAGCACATTTTTGATGACCCAGGGCAGGGCCATGTCCGGGTATTCAATCTGGGCTTTCATCACCAGCGCCAGCAGTCCCGGGAACACGATAAGCAACGGAATAAACATTTTTCCAAAAGCGGCGAACATCATGCCCGCGCTGGCGTCCCACTGAGTTTTGGCGCCAAGGGTGCGTTGCAGAATAGCCTGACCAGCGCACCAGTAGGCTGGCGATAGAACGAGACCAAGACCAAGTAATACGCCAGGCCACGGATAGCTTTCATGATCCGCGGATAGATAAGCCTGCAGGTGATTCGGATTGTCCCGGGTGAGCGTTTCAGCAAATCCTGCAAATCCGCCGGTTTCAGAAATGCCGAGCCCGACGATGACAAGACCGCCAATGAACATGATGCAGACCTGTAACGTGTCAGTGAACGCAACCGCTGCGAGCCCGCCGGCGATGCTGTAAGCACCGACCACCGTGCCGGTGACTACAATGCCTACCCAGATCGGCCAGCCGAGGTAGGTCTGCAAGGTCAGGGCGATGGCCCATAAAGCAACGCCAATGGCAAACACCGTGACCACACTGGTGATGACCGCTGCGGTGACGCGAACCGCCGGGTTGTAACGTAAACCCAGGTATTCTGGAATGGAGTACACGCCGGCTTTCCAGTACAGGGGAATGAACACCAGCGCAGCAATGATCATTGCTGGAATGGCACCTATCCATTCGAAATTTGCCTGGGCTATGCCAATATTAAACGCATTGCCCGCCGCGCCAACGTAGCTGTTGGCGCCGATGTTGGTACCGATAATAGATAAACCGATAACCCACCAGGCCAGGGACTTGCCGGCCAGGAAAAAGTCTTTAGCGTTTTTCACCCGGCCAGACAGCCGTACGCCAACAAAGGTAATCAGAATCAGATAGCCGGCGACGATGGCAAAGTCCAATGGATGCATTGGTGCCCCTGATGTTGTTCTTGTTATATTCGCCGATAGTTACATATCCGGCGCACAAGCGCACGGATTGCAAAAGTTGGCCGGCTGCTCTAAAGAGGCGAGGAAGATGTTTCGATCAGTATTGATGGTGTCAATCATCCTGTGGGCTCTAATCGCTGCGGGCGAACCGGCTGCGCCGACTGATGTTAGGGCTGAGGTGTCGGAAACAGCGCCCTCAGGCCTGGAACTCCTGGAGCGATTCAACCAAACAGCGCCAACGCTTGATCCTATCTCTGCTGATGACCCTGCTCGTGAGGCGTTCTTCGAGCAGTGTTATGCGGTTACAACGGAGTGCCTGGTGTACATTCGTCAGCATCGCGCCCTGGCTCAACGGTTATTGCCAAATAATCCTTTGTACTGGCAGAACTACTGGTTAGTGATGGAAAAATTTAAGCCGGATTTCGATCCCCAGGACTTTGTGGCGCGTTCTAATAGTCCTTATGATTATCAGCGTTTGATCCAAGCATCGTGGCAATGGCCGCTCTATCAGTATGCCACGCGTGGCGCTATCGATGTGGACGATACGCTTGAAATGGTGCGGCAGTCCCGCCGTCTGCTCAGCAAGAGTCAGTCGCTGATAGACGGGATGATCGCCACAGCGCTTGTCGGTATCGGCAATAGCACGGCACACTACGTATTGTGGCAGTTGGGTACAGACAACAACCGCAACGCAGCGTTGCAGATTCAACAGCTGTTAGTCGATGAATCCAGCAAAAGCCTGCGCGCAGCTCTTGAATATGAGGTTCTTGTCGCAGAGGGGCTAGCGCGTCGCGCCCCCGATGATGCGTTGTCAATTCTGAACGAAGGCGGAACGCTGGAATCCTTCTTTGCAGAGTATCGTTTGATGATCGACCTGTGGAGTGAGCTGAGTGAGCGCAGTTTTTCTGCATTCTGGTCGCAAGGTGTGGATCTGGCCGGTTCCGGAGCTGTTCAACAACCACTCTTCAGTTTTGGTAAAGACAGTGCCTATGGACCAGCTTTAGAATCTTACGTGGTCACTTTGCAACAGATATGGGTTCATGCCCGCGTCTTTGCAGCTCTCGGTGATATCTATGCCGGTAGGGTAGCGCCTGGTCTGCCCGCGCGCCCGGATCCCAGCCCCTGGCAGTGGGAGTGGCGAGATGATCCAGAACAATTGTGTCTGATACCGGTAGCCGCACACCCCTCCATAACTGTCGCTGAAGCTTGCGTTGAGTACCTGGGTCCCACACCATAGATTGTTTCGTTCACAGCTTGGTAGATAAACAAGCTAAGCGCCTCGGATAAGGAAATTGCCATGAGCATAAAAGTCATCGGTGCAGGATTCGGCCGCACCGGCACCCTCTCACTGAAACACGGATTAGAAATGTTGGGGTTTGATAAGTGCTACCACATGATGGAAGTGTATATGAACCCCACTCATACCCAGATCTGGAAAGATCTGTCGGATGGCATTGAGCCGGACTGGCACGCGCTCTTCGACGGTTATCAGGCGTCTGTAGACTGGCCCTCCTGTAACTTCTGGCGTGAGCAGATGGTCGCGTTCCCAGATGCGAAAGTCATCCTGAGTCGCCGCGACCCTGAAAAGTGGTACACCAGTATCATGAACACAATCTGGCCCAGTTCAAAAGCAGGTGCAGCCAGTGAAGATCCTGCGGGTAAGCTCAGATCGGCCATGGTCTTTGGTTTAATCTGGGACGGCATTTTTGACGGCCGCATGGATGACAAAGACTTTGTCATCAGCCAGTTTGAAAAGCACAATCAACAGGTTATTGATGAAGTGCCCGCTGCAAAGCTGCTGGTTTATGAACCCGGCGACGGATGGGAGCCGCTGTGTGAATTCCTGCAGGTGCTGGTCCCCGAAGTAGAATATCCACGGGTCAATTCAACCGAAGATTTTCGCGCGCAATGGGACAAAATCAGGCAGCAGGCAGATAGTAAATAAATTATTTGAAGATGCTCAATCAGTGATCGTGCAGAGCGATGAACTGGCGTACCGCCTGTAATTCATAACCTGCGTGCAGTTTGCGTTCGTTGTCCAGGGTTTGCAGTCGGGATAGATCAAACCAGTCCAGGTCCAACAGTTCAGTATCGTCGTAATTGGATATTCGATAATCGACGTCGGCACCATAGACCATATGATCATTACCTTTGTAGTGATAGGCGCCGATTTCAGTGAAGTCCGTCATGTAGAGTTCAAGTTCTTCTTCCAGCTCCCGGCGCACTGCGTCTGCCGGTGCTTCACCACGTTCGATATTGCCGCCGGGTAACCCCCATCGTTTGTGGGTGCGCGCCCAGAAGCTGGAATGAATGGCCAGCAAAAACTGATCCTCGAAACGCAGCACGCAGCGCGCGGTCTTATAGCGGCTGCGAAACTTCACAGTGTTGGCGCAGGTCCCACAGCCGTTTCACCGGCAGGTCCTGGTGCTTGCGCCAGATCTCCGCCAAACAGGCTGACTAACACAACCCAGACAAACACAAGCACAAAAGATGCGCCGATGCCGACGACAATGGTTCGCCACATGGGGAAATACTGGCCGCCCATTTCCACGAAACTGGCAAACATCGGTCCTTGCAGTTTGTTGGCAATGGCCAGCACCAGAACGACCTGACCAATCATGATGGCAATGGCAATCGGTGCACTGGCACTTAATTGCCCCGGCAGCAGAACGAAGGCCAGTACCAATACCAGGCTGCCCCACAAACTGTAGATTGCCATGCGGCGCTGGCCCAGGGCGGCGTAGTTGCTCGCCAGCATGTAACCCGCCGCCAGTGAAGAACCCAGAAAGGTGGCTATCCCGATCTGGGTCAGGGAATAAAGCGGCGGTAGTTTTTGTTCTGTCATGGCGTTTCTTTTAGGCGTTCACTGATGGTTGTTGTGTCGGTTCGTACAGGGAAATGAAACTGAAATGCTCCGGTTCAAATGCACCGCCGTATTCCGAGAGTTCAAAAGCCTCAGCGGCTTCTATGCCAGAGCCTGCAAATTTCCTTGCGATACCCTGGGGTCGACGGCTGTACCACTGGCGCAGCCATTGTCGTCGGTTATGCTCAGGTACTTCGATGCCTTGTGTGTAGGGTAACCACTGATAGACCTGGCTTGCATGGCAGTGTAACAGCTCTACTACACCACTGAGTACATCACTGGTATCACAGACCCAATCAGGCTGGAACGGTCGAGGATATTGGAAACGATCGGCGAACATCAGCACCGGCGGGATGTTTTGCAGCACTGGGTATGAGGGCGCGATATTAGGTACCTGCAGAAGATAACAGGCGTCCATGACCAGCTGAGCGCAGGCGCGGTGGTCCGGGTGATAGTCTGCGGTGCGGTGCGTCAGAATAAGGTCTGGTCGGAATGCCCGAATGTCTCCAATGAGCTGTTTGCGCAAGTTTATCGTTGCTTCGAGCTCGCCGTCCCGTACATCCCAGATCACTACTTTAGCGCCCAGTAAGTCGGCTGCGTTGCGGGCCTCTTCCTGGCGGATACTGGCGAGATCTTCGGTGGCTAACTCGTGGTGGCCGGCGGAACCGTCGGTGAGGCATAAAATCAGCAGTTCCTGCTCGGCGCTGGCCCACTTCAGCATGAGGCCACCCGCGTTGAACTCGGCATCGTCAGGGTGTGCCGTGATCACCATTAATCGCTTTTTATCACTAACCGGTTCTGCGGGTGGTGTTGTCATGTGGCGCAAACTGAAGGTTTCTGCTGATAAAACAGCGTGGCTTGTTCGTAGCAATGTGCGAGTTTAAGCAGCGCCAGATCCGCGCGAGGCTTGCCAACAATCTGCAGACCAACAGGCAGGCCTGTTGCGGTAAAACCTGCAGGGACTGAGATGGCTGGTAGTCCCGTTACAGTTACTGCACAACACACCGTCATCCAATCGATATAGGTGGCCATCGGTGTCTCGTTGATCGCCTCGATCCACTCAATGTCTTTGTCAAAAGGTGCAACCTGGGCCGCAGGTAGAATGAGAGCGTCGAAGCTGCTGAAGAATTCAACACAGTCTGCGTATATGCGGGTGCGCCGCAGCTCTGCGGCATAAATGTCGGCGGCGCTTAACGCCAGACCTTTCTCAATGTTCCATACCGCCGTGGACTTCGCCTTGGTTTTCCAATCCGGCATCGTCAGATTCAAAGCGTGTCCCAGGTTTGCCAGCGCTGCTGCGCGCATGACCTGAAACACACCCATCGCCTGATCCAGCGGTGGGTGTGTTTCGATGACCTCTGCGCCAAGATTAGCCATAGTATCTGCAGCTTTTGCTATGACCGCTGCAACGGCAGGTTCAACGGGCGCATCTCCTATGGACGGGCAGTAACCAATGCGCAGCCCGTTCAGATCTTGTCGTGGTTGCAGAGCGTCGAGAAAAACCTCTCCAGGTTCGTTGAGTGTGAGCGGATCTGTGGGGTCTGGACCAGCCTGTACCGAAAACAGCAAGGCAGTGTCTGCCACGTTTGTTGCCATCGGGCCGGTGGTGGTCAGTCTGCCCAGCCAGCCGAATCCGTCACCTTTAGGCGTGCGTCCAATGGAGGGTCGCAGACCAACCACGTTGCAGAAACTGGCCGGGTTGCGTAACGATCCTCCCATATCGCTGCCGTCAGCTAAAACCAGCATGCGCGTGGCCAGAGCCACAGCGGCGCCGCCACTGCTGCCACCGCAGGTCTTGTTCAGGTCATAAGGATTGAGCGTCTGGCCAAATAAACTGTTGAATGTATTTGAACCAAGACCAAATTCCGGCATGTTGGTGTGGCCGATGAATAGAGCGCCGGCGTTGCGCAAGCGCGCAGCCTGGGCATCATCTTTGCGCGCGATTTTCTTAGCCCAGGGCGTAAAGCCTTTGGTGGTTGGGAAACCTGCAACATCAACGGCGTCTTTGGTGGCCATAGGCAGCCCATGTAACGGACCCCGTTCAGCAACGGGGACCGCGTCAGCCTGCTGCGCCAGGGCAAGTGCTTCGTCCGGATCCAGTAGGTTAACTAACGCATTCACCTGTGGATTAATCTCGTTTATGCGTGTGTACGTTTGTTGCATGACGTCCACCGCAGACTGATCGCCGCGTTGCAGGTCTCTGCATAATTTCAGAGCATGGTCTAATGGCATAGAGGTGTCCCTAGGTATGTTCCAGGCGCCACAGTGAAACGGTGAGCGGCTTTTTTATAAACAGGCCACCACCCACGCTTTGAAAGTGGGGGTCAAGGTGTTTACGGTACCAGCGAAAAGAACGTGGCTGCTGCTGCATATCGCTGTGTTCTGTATCAACAATGGGCATATCTTCACTGGTCATCACGCTGAGATATAACGCAGATTGAGAAAGATCAGCCAGATGTTGTATGGCCTGTGCGCAGGCATTTTTATCCAGGTACGCCAGGACGTCGTTACAGACGACCAGGTCTGCAGGTGTTGTATCGACGTCAACCACGGAACCATGTTGCCATCCATATTGTTCGCACAAATAGGTGCTGAACTCAACGCCATGGCATGATGCGTCTGGGAACTCATTTTTGAATTGCTGCAAAAAAGTGCCGATGCCGCAGCCAATATCAACAATGGAAGAAACGTCGACTTCAAGGTATCGCAGATAAGCCGCGACAAAGCTTACCTGGCGTTGTTGTTCCTCAGGTGAAACCGCACGCGTTTTGGGGTTGTGGTAGTAGCGCTGATAGTACGCCGCGTCAAAATTCATCAAATATCCAGCCACAATTGGGCTTGCAATAACTCTGCTGGTGCATAGTGTAGGTGCCTCAACCGATTTTGGCGATGTTTATGAGCCGCTCCACGCAGCTGCAGCCTGCTGCGTCTATTGATATTCCGGTCTTCCTCAGCAGCGTAGCGCTGCTTGTTTCTTTATGCCTGCCGTTGGCACTTTACCCTGAGGAAGGCAAGGTTCTGTTGGGGGATGCGTTTATCTTCCTTACGCAGAATTTTGGTGTCGCCTACATTCTTGCCGGGATTGGCTCACTGGTTTTTCTTCTGGTACTGGCGTTTGGGCGCCATCGTCATATCCTGTTTGCGCGGGATGAAAGCGGGCCTATGTTTTCAACCTTCAGTTGGAGCGCCATGCTGTTCTGCGGTGGTATTGGTACCAGCGTGTTGTTCTGGGGAAGTATTGAATGGGCACATTACTATCTGGCACCACCATTTGGGATGCCATCACAAAGTGCGCAGGCATTACCCTGGGCTACCAGCTATCCGATTTTTCATTGGGGTTTTATAGGCTGGGCATTTTACTGCCTGCCCGGCATAGCCATGGGTTATGCCTACTACATTAAAGGCGCCTCGACGCTGCGGCTCAGTGAAGCCTGTGCTGATGTGATCAAACCGGCCCTGCGCCCCTTTATAGACCCGATTATTGATCTGGTCTTTGTTATAGGTCTTGTCGGAGCCTGTAGTACGGGTATCGGCCTGGCGGTGCCATTAATTGGCACCCTTGTCAGCGATTTGCTGGGCCTCGATCGTCAGGGTCTGGGCTTTACGCTGGACCTGATTGTCATCGGAGCCATTACGATACTGTTTGGCGCCAGTGCCTGGTTAGGCTTGGAAAAAGGCATCAAACGGCTGAGTAATCTGAATGTGTGGCTGGCCATGTTACTGGTTGCCATTGTCCTGGTTGCGGGGCCTACCCTGTTTATTCTTGAACTTGGTGTTGAAACCCTTGGTATGTTGTTGCAGAACTTTGTTCGCATGAGCACCTGGACAGACCCCCAGGCAACGTCCGATTTTGTAGAATCCTGGACCGTTTTTTACTGGGCGTGGTGGTTGGCGCTGGGCCCTTTCATGGGTATTTTTATTGCCAAGATTTCCCGCGGACGCACCATGCAGCAGATCATTCTAGGTTGTCTGGGTTTTGGCACGTTGGGGTGTACCGTGTTTTTTATTGTGCTGGGTAACTACGCTGTTTTTCAGGAGCTGAGCGGTACAGTCGATGTGTTGGGTATGATTGGTGTCGGCAAAGCGCCGGAAGCCATTCTGGCTATTCTACACACGCTGCCGAACGCATCTGCGGTGATTGTTTTGTTTACCGTCGTATGCGTGATATTTGCGGCCACCAGTTACGACTCCGCTTCTTATACCCTGGCCACAACGGTGACTCGAAATCTGCCAGAGAGTGAACATCCCAGTCGTCAACATCGAATTTTCTGGGCCGTGTTGTTAGGCCTGTTACCGATAGTGTTGATAGCGATGGGAGGGCTGCGGCCTCTGCAGTCAGCGGTAACCCTGGCCTCTGTGCCGCTCATGTTTGTGATGGTGTTGATGTGTTGGTCTTTGTGGAAGAATCTGGCCGCGCGACCTGAGTAATATTGGGAGGATCTGACATGTCTGAAATAGCCGCCGCCGCGACGCAAAGCCGCCCTGTAGTCCTGGAATTGCAGAAAAAACTGGGAGAAGAGTGTGTGCTGCTCGATGCAGACGTCACCTCTCGCAGTGCGGGTATCTGGCGTAGCGATACCATAGCCGCTCAGGTACTTGTGCGGCCGCGTAACACCGAAGAAGTCAGTCTTGCTCTATCTGTCTGCCATGCCCACCGCCAAAGTGTTGTGACCCATGGTGGTTTGACCGGGCTGGTTGAAAGTGCGCTGACCAACCCGGAGGATATTGTCCTGTCGCTGGAACGGATGCGCACCATAGAGCAGATCAATCCGCTGGAACGTACGGTCATTGTACAGGCAGGTGTTGTGTTGCAGACGCTGCAGGAAGAAGTTGCTAAACATGGACTTATGTTTCCTCTGGATCTGGGTGGGCGTGGGTCGTGCACTCTGGGAGGTAACCTGTCCACCAATGCGGGGGGGAATCGGGTCATTCGTTATGGTATGACCAGAGATATGGTGCTCGGTCTGGAAGCGGTTCTGGCTGATGGCACTGTCATCAGTTCGATGAATCAGATGATCAAAAACAATGCGGGCTATGATTTGAAGCAGCTGTTTATCGGCAGCGAAGGTACTTTAGGGGTTGTCACCCGGGCGGTGCTGCGTACCCGCCCCCTTGTTACACAACAACCGACCATGTTGGCTGGTGTCAGCAGCTTTGCTCACCTGGTTGAGTTCCTGCAACACATGGATACGGAACTGGCAGGGCATTTATCTGCGTTTGAAGTGATGTGGCAGAATTTTTATGATCTTGTTACAAACCCGCCGGCAAAAAACAGCGCACCTTTGCCGTCAGACTATCCTTATTATGTTCTGGTTGAAGCCATTGGTGCCCAGGATGCGGTCATGCAAAGCGCTCTGGAGTCCGCGTTCACCAAAGGCCTGATCGAAGATGCTGTGCTTGCACAATCTGAGGCCCAGCGGCTGCAGATCTGGGCGTTGCGCGATGATGTTGAACAGGCCTTTCAATACGCTCCGGTCTTTGTTTTTGACGTGTCGTTGCGTATTCCCCTGATGGAAGACTATGTGCAGCAGGTCAATCGTGGACTGGCGGAAAAATTTACCGAGGTGCGTAATTTCACGCTGGGCCACATGGGTGATGGCAATCTGCACTTTGTCGTCAGTGTGGGGGATGGATCGGCACAGGCCCGTCGTAGCGTAGAGCAATGTGTCTATGAGCCGCTGCGTGATATCGGTGGCTCAGTATCTGCTGAACATGGTATTGGGCTGGAAAAGAAACCCTATCTCTCATTCAGCCGCAGCCCGGCTGAAATAGATCTGATGCGAACGTTGAAAAACGCGTTGGATCCCCAGGGTCTGCTCAATCCAGGCAAAGTATTTGATCTGTAACTCCTGCAGCGGACCATAACAGGCGTGTCCTTATGACTGAATTAGATTCCCAGCCCCTGCATTATCAGACCATTGCGCAGATTGTGCGCCAGACTAAAAGTGGCGCGCTCAGTGCAGAAACCCTGACCCAGTACATGCTGGACCGCATCGCGGCACGCGATGGTGCGCTTAAAAGTTACGTCAGAGTTCTGCAGGCGTCCGCGCTGCAACGGGCCCGTGAGCTGGATGATGCTCAGCGTCGTGGCGATCGGCTGGGTGCGCTGCATGGTGTACCTGTTGCCATTAAAGATCTGCTGTTCACCCGGGGCGTGCAGACTGCCAGTGGTACGCAAGTGATGGCTGACTTTATACCCGACTATGATGCAACCGTAGTAAGCCGTCTCCGTGAAGCCGGTGCGGTGATCATTGGTAAAACCCAGTTAACCGAAGGTGCCTTTGGTGTTCATCACCCATCCATCGATCCCCCGAAAAACCCCTGGAATGCCGCCTACTGGCCTGGCGTGTCGTCTTCCGGTTCAGGGGTGGCCGTGGCGGCAGGCCTCGCTTTTGGTGCGTTGGGCTCTGACACCGGCGGCAGCATCCGCTTTCCCAGCGCAAGTTGCGGTCTGGTTGGGTTGAAGCCGACTTATGGCCGGGTCAGCCGGCATGGTGCGTTTGCGCTGGCCCACAGTCTCGATCACATAGGTCCCATGACACGTTCAGTGGAAGACGCTGCGCGCATGTTGGGGGTTATTGCTGGCGCTGATGTTAATGATCCAAGCAGCCTTGATGCGCCTGTGCCGAATTATCTGGACGTATCTGAGTCGATACAGCAAACCGGTCGCATAGGGGTGGACTGGAACTATGTGCGTGAAGGTGTTGCACCGGAAATTGTGGCGACGGTAGAACAGGCCTGTCAGCAGTTTGAGTCTTTAGGCATGCAGATCGAAGAAGTGACGATGCCCTCAGAATATCGGGCGCTGGTTGATGGCTGGGGTATTTCCTGTGCCGTTGAATGCGCGCAAGCGCATGAAGGCTTGTATCCAGCACAGAAGGGGCTCTATGGCCCCGTATTGGCGAATCTGTTAGAGATGGGTAGTGCGGTGGCGGCCAGCGAATACCAGGCGCTGCAGATTCTCAGAGATACATTTCGTGCAAAGCTTGACCGGTTGTTCGAAGACGTTGATGTCATGATTTTCCCCAATATGACGGGGTCAGTCCCAACCGTTGCGCAGATGGATTCTGTGGTGGCCGAGGACGATAGTCGCGCTGCGTTTATCAACTTCACCGCGCCATCGGATTATTCCGGCCATCCAACGCTGACGTTACCTGCGGGCCTTGATCAACAAGGCCTGCCGCTGAGCTTTCAGCTCATGGGGAAATCGCTGATGGAACAGCAGTTGATCA